TTGTTTTTCCGCTGAAAAGCACTTTCAATCACAAGAATATTGTATACCCTTTTCGAAATAACGGCAACATATGGACGACCTCAGCAGAATGATTAAGAAAGCAATAACGGTAAGTAGTTCTGTTCCGTTTGCTCGATCACTACAATGACGGCTGTTCCTTCGAGTAGGGACATCAAAACGATAATATAACGCGTTATAGAAAACTCTTACTTGCGTAGGTCAAAACGTTGTTGTGATGGTCATCATTTATTATCAGTGACGCTGATGGAAGCTGTCACTTAGCTGTTTGTATCGTAACATAGATGCTCTGTTCGCGCCATGACAAGCTCTACGGGCAGCTTCGTAGTACTTAATGAAATACTTTCGCGGAGAATAGCTACGAGCAGTGTGGCAGCTATCTAAAAATAGGTCAAGATCGTTGCCCGTAATTATAATCACAGCTGCAAGTGTTAATAACAATCCAACGCAACTAAATATCTACTAATTAAGTATTTAGTCCCAAATCCTTGCCTCTTAAATAAGTCCTCAATAAATATTTGGGTAATTACTTGTCTACCCATTTAAATTTTCCACCATTTCATTCAAACGCACACAAGAACGTGCCGTACCACATGGCGCTAACAGTATTTCTTGCTACCTCGCTACTCATGATCGCGTTATTGGCCTGATATTCACAGTTAATCTATAGCAATCAATAGAGCAGAGTAATGAGTTTCGTTTCCCCATTATCAATTTGCGATGTCCTTAGCGTCAAGTCACTGAGGGGATGGGCCGTGAAAAGCTTTCTCTAGTACCATACTTCGATGCTATAGTGTTTTTGCACTGCAGCTAGTTTTAGATCGTTCGCCAGTTCCTCATTTTGACAGTTTACCTGCTGTGTCATCATATAATATCTGAGTATCGTGTCTCGTCATCCGCGGCTCCTCAGCCTTCGTCAGATTATATCAACTCCGAATGACGTTCGACTACGATGACTGCCCGCATTGCTACCGATGAAGCTTGCCCGATGAGTAACGTATATGAGTATGGCTGTAGTCACTTGGTGACTCGTGCACTGGAGTGATTGTCTCTCTTCTTCTGAAGCTAACTGCTATTGTCTGAAATATTACGTTGACTTATGCCGCCGCAACGAAGATTACAACAGCAACCAGATATGTAACACGGTTGTGATGAACTTGGCGTTAGAATATGAGAAGTCATGGCTTGCGCTTTGCTGCTCGTAGCAAATCCACAGTCCCTTTATTTTTGCGCACATTTTAGGTTGTCCACCGTTACGGTCTATGTATCTGTGAGTATTATGAAGTTCGTAGAATTATCGCTCCCTGAGTAAATGCGGGCTGCTAGATCTTCAAGAGCCGTATGCTTGCCACCCCGGCCAGAGCAAGGGGATGCGTACGGGTGTCTAAGCAGAAACGAACTGCGGTACTGTTCGTACATATCATTGAAGATAATATATTAAGAGTGGTTAACGGCATGCTGCTGTGGGATGTACATGTATGTATCTATTTGAATAGAATGCATACATAGTTTAGTTAAATTAGATAAATAGCCGTAACTATCCCGTATCAGTCACTCTTGTACATATCTGGAACATTTTCTTTAGGTGAGAGTACTTCTGAAATACACTGCAGTTGCCTCGGTGCTTTGTGTCATATATATATATATATATATACATACATAGTTATTGTTTTTTACATGGATCACCAGGGGATCTGCATTCTACAATAAAGTGACAATGCCATTATTATAAAGTAGACCAGCTAAAGATCATTGAACAACTGTGGTTGATCCGTGCAGCGAAAACGTCGAATTATGACGCATTTGTATACTTCTATATGTGCCCTGTATAGCAACAGGACGTCTAAACTTGAGGGCGCTGTTCGCAGAGATCCGCTTCTATGTTCTAGACAATTATATATACTTTTTGATAATATTCTAGATTTTCAAGTTTGGTAAATTGCAAGTATCGTGCTGTAAACAGATAATGCGAACGTTTTAGGTTAAAAGTGTTTTCTGTTCTCAGGATTTTGCCGCTGTAACTATACAATTATAGTAAATGTCGGTCTCTTTTATGTTTCAATATTGCTTGTTCCCGTTATTGTACATGGATCACTGACTGAGTCACGCTACGGTAGGCATCTTTCGAGCGCAAACCGATCGCTCGTGCGATTCCAAGAGGCTTTTCCAAGATATCGGCAACGTCAACTCTCTAGCAATGCTAAATTCGTCTCTTGACGAGGCTTTACTTTGTGTTGCATTACTATTATCCTATACACAACCTGGGCCTGCAGATGTTAATCTGAAGAAAGACTAATTAGATGGGGGGCCTTATTAGGCCAAACGATTTCGTACGCTATATATTAACCAGCCTAAATAATATTGCTTTGTACGCGTAATGAGTGAGCGCACTATCCTCATAGAAGCAGCAGAGTACTTGAATGTCTATCGGTTCGGGTCCCGGTAACAAGGAAGTTTCATAAAAAGATAATAGCAACAACAAAGTTCCCGTTAACGATGACAAGCAAGTTACTGTACAACAAGCGCGTCAAGTTTTATGAAACCCAAACATGTCGAATGTCGGTACATGTGATATCCTCTCTACATGAACTGTAGTTGATATTTTTAGAGCTGTGACATACCGAGCCAGTTACATATAAATAGAAAATATACAGTCGTACACGGCCAAGTATCGTATGACGGAGTATCTTGTAAATGTTCCACTAACTCATTCTTATCGTGTCTGCTACTAACTACTATTGGAAAAGTTTTGTGCGTTTTGCTCTAGGATAGGTAGAATAGAAAAATACGTAGATTTTCCTAGCGATCTAAGGATGGAAGCATAGCTGGCTGTTCGAGCGCGGCGAAACGTGCATTCGTACATTTTATTAGCGTTTCCGTATTCGCGAAATTGCAGCAGCTGGAAGCAAATACCAGGCAGGAAAGACACCTGTGCCTCATTATTTCAAGCTATGGATCTAGCAATCAAATCTGTGGGGCAACTGACAAAAGGAGTGGGACAATGCCTTTTTAATTTGGACGCCAACGGGCTGGGCAGCATGCTTTTGACCACTAGCGATTGTGGCCCCTAACCATCAATTGAGCGAGAACCGTGACTTTAGATTCATTCAAATCCCCGCCTAAATATCCTTTGATGGTTCTATTAAATACGTCAAACTTTATCATCCAAAAGCTGATACAAGTCATCTGCCCAGATTAAAGTAAAACTTAAAATACACTAAACAGAATCCTATGGTACACCATGCGGAGTTCAACTGGACTTGGGAAACAATCTGCTCAGCGACCGTTCGATGATATCTATCTCGGTCATTCATTTCGAGACGACTGCGGCCTATCATACACACGCATGAGGCAAAGATAATTCTCTTAATGAAGCGAAACCGCTTACGGTTGAACTACAAGATAATACAAGCCAGCAGTATTAATTATCGACGATAAGTACGCGTCTCCTTACAAACTGACGATATACCGATTATTTACCAGCTAAAATGGTTCGCCTACGTGTGAGCCGGGTTTATATGAATGATAACCCACAAAATCGGGGCGAGTCTTGCAAGAAACAAGATCCAATTTGCGTGAGACGCGTGACACTTTGATGCGTAACGCACCAGTTGCTACATATGTATCAAACTGGGCTTGTTTCTACTCATGAAGGTCGAGTTTCTGTCGATGAGTACCTATAGAATAGTGATAGAAATATATGGCTCTGTTTAAATTGCATTCGTCTTCTTCTTTCGGAATGGGAAGCGTGTGTGTGAACCTTTCGGAACGAAGCTGTTCAAGGTGTCCAAACTTAAATTCACCACATCCCTACGATGGTCAGCGGTCGATAACTGCAATGAAATCTGCAATATTTACAATGATTTACGTTACTATGGACGAAAAACAGTTGTAATAACTTTGTAGATGTAGAATAGAGACGATGTGCGTATGTTTTTTGCCTTCTAATAGCTACTAGCCCATTTAGGTAATCTTGCCCACTTCATATCATTTTTTTTGCTAAATCATCTGTGTAAAAACTAGGCAACAATCGATCGAACACTAGAACTAATCAATATATACACATGTTTCGACCATGTGCTCAATAGAGGCCTAAATGGAGAAGCGTAAGTAAGATTCGATCAACACTCCGGAAAGATGCTCTGATTTTGTTTCTTAATATAAGTTCTTTTTTATCTTTAGTAAGAAGCCTGTCAATCAGACAGGATCGGATCAATTCGGGTCACTCTCCATTGTTGGAACGTATATTTGACTATGTTTATTTGGACCGGTATAAAGCTTCCTTGAACACTGTCGGATATTGAGTATGGCTGTTTATATTGTCACGATTCATTTATATGTTCATATTACCACAATGTCTTATATCATAAGCGATTCGATTGATTCTACCCGCCAAAAAAAAAGAGATGAGATTTCGGTTCGCTTGGCCTGCATAAAGCTATGAATTTCCTGCCGGCATATACGTGTCTACCATGTGAAAATGGGTTTTACTGATAAATGTTGGCAAGCAGAACTCGTTCTGGTTATTTTTATTTGGAATTTATTTGTTGATTAAATCAATAGTTGTATTGATGGTAGTGGATCTGCAAAAGCTCTACACCGTGCTTGTTCTCGACGTTGCAGTCACCGAATGAGTAAAAAAAAAATCACTAATCTAGCTAAGTAGTTAAGGAATGGAAAAACCGTTCACATCAAATACCAGCTATCCTTTCGTGAACGCGCTATTCGAACCGGAAGCGCCCCATGTTTCCAGCCAGTGATTGCTTCAGCTGTACCACAACGCCCGTTCACTATCACTTCGACTTAAATTCGATGTTTCCATAGCTCCACACCAATAAACATGTTCTAGCTAAGACCAATCATTTCACTGCCCTTATTCGTCACTCCTTTCTCAGAATTATATAATATATATATATATATATATATATATATATATATTGCAGCTTTTGGTACAGTTGCAAAGCTAAATAGCCACTCACTAAGAAATTACTATTAGGAAAGCGCGTGAATACTACGTATTAAGATGTCCTATTGCTAGCCTATGAGTAAAAAAACAATTCGGCCTGGTCGTGCTTGGTTAAACTCTCTAATTCTGTCTCTTAAACGCATTTTCTGCGCAGTGGCTGCACTCGAACCGAAAAGACCAAAGTTCCTTGCCAAGCCGCCCATCATTACGGATATTTTGGTGTATCGCTAGTTTCTAATTGTATATAATGGCGCGGTGCGCAACTAAAAGACCAATCGCCACTCAGCTAAAAAATTGAACGTCACCCAGGTGGCTCGACTTATCCGTTTCCCCCACGTAATTCACTACAGGTAGCGGATCCAGATTTCGGGCGCTTTGCTTCACACCGCAAATGCCAGATATAGTCTTATCATTCGGCCGTTCTATTCTGATTCATGCTCATTTTCTCCTTTTTGAATAGATGCAGCGGCTTCATCGGGGCAGCACTAGCGATTCTGGTATCATTACGCTAGCAAGCATTGCTCAACACGACACTGCACAAGTATACCGAGAATACATATGATGAGCGATACATACATGGCGCTGATAAACACGCTGGTGAATAATAGTGGTTAACGTTAGGTGCCGTAAAGTAACAGCAATGCTTGACTTATAGTTCTCTTTAGCCTAGATAAAGGAATCAGATTAGGTAGGTAAATCAACGACGAACGGGACAAAGCCAGCGAGCAAAAGCGAGACTGAAGCAAGCATAGCGTTTATGACTATTTGTCTCAACCGGCGTCATCGTTGCTAACACTAACGTCATCGTCAGCGGTGCTACGATCATCGTGGAAGGGTTGATCGTCGGCATCATCCAATTCTGAAGTGGCTTCAGCATCTGCAAACGCGGTAGTAGTCATAGGGTGTTGCCTCTATTGGTCTTCTCTCTTTCCTTCCTTCTCGCATATTGCCGTTCGCTACTGAAGTTTATACAACTACCGCCAGGAGAAAGCTTGGCAGCACTTTCTGCTGGCCGCGTTAAGGCCGCCCATAATCGCAACAGCAGAAAGAGTGGCCGACAACTGTGAAGCCGCCGCCGCCACCCCAGCGCTGCAGCGTTCAAACATTGTTGGTTAGCGTTGGCACGAACAGTATTGCTTTTTGAGCCTCCATAACGTTTGTTTTCAAACTTGCGACCTGTGGCTTGCTTTTGCTGCTGCTGCAACTACTGAAGTCGTTGATAACGTTAAAGCGATTGCCGGCAGAACGTGAATCTGGCGGCGTCAGCTTCTGCCACGACAACAACATTAACGTCGGCACTGCAATGCGCGATCAACGAAGCCCGACGGTAGAAGCTCAAAGTTCTCCTTGGTATTAGCTACGCCCGAAGTCTCCTTGTTCTTCTGTTTGTCTGCCTGTACCTCTACCAACGAACCATGCAGCAATTGTCCACCGCACACAATACCCGTGTACGCAGCTCACCGTAGTGACTAAATGAGGGGAGTAGATGCGTGAGTTCAGTAGGATCGATCGACTCCCGCGTGCTAGCGAGCGGTTGCTGTCATTCGTTTCCTCATTTGCTGTTTTTCTTGGCCACCCGCCGCTGTTGTCGCCGCCGTCACATCATTCCCTTTTCAGTCAACTTCTGCTCCTGCTGCTGCCGCTGGTACAAATTCCTATGGTGTTGCTGTGACAGCCGCGGCAGTTGGTTACGTCTGCTGCCGCCGCCGCGCTGGAGGCCGACGGCGGTGGCCAACTCTAAAATATCTTTACAAACTGGGCGCGACCCATCGGCAACGTTGCGAACAGCCGAACAGTACCGGCAAAGTGCTCTTCGCGTGTTGTGACAGTATCAGCCGTCGTAGTGGTGTGATCCGAACAGAATGTCCAACTCCTAAGAGCTAGATATTCGCAACTGGGCGTATATCAGGACACGCACACGAACATACCAAGTTAGCTTACAGGCTGATTCTCTGAATAGTTATTTGCATTGCCATTGCCGCTAACGTTACCACCGCTACGCCAAGTGATCCGCTATTGCCGCATAAACCATCCACCGATTGGCGCGCAGAGGTGTACACAGTATCGAACGCTGTATTAACCTAAGGGTCATACTTTTGCTGTCCGTTCAGTCTTCGAGAGAATCAACAAAATCATCTAACAGAAAGGTCGACCAACAACACCTGCAACCTCAGCGATACTGCCGACAATTTGATGTTCTGCTTCGCGTATAGCCGGCTGTCAGTTCCAGTGGACCAGTGCATGCACGCATCGTATTACGCAGTTCCCCAAGGAGGCATAAGCGCAGATTAAGCTCGAACAATAGCACCTGTCATGGTGTGCACAGGTGCTGCTATAGAAATTAGCAGTGCTATGCCCCGAGGGCACATCTCTAATTATAGTGTGCACTAGCAGTGGCGGATTCTTGACAAGTTTGACAACTTAACATTGCCCTTTCTCTCAAAAGTGTTGTCCCGCCCTCTCTGAATTGCAGAGCCTTTGAGCTTTTGGACAGTATCGCATGAGCCGCTAGGCAGTCTAACAACTAAGGATCGCTTTCCGTCTGAGCAACATCAACACGTATAGTCACGTAGGGAAACAGACTAATTAAGACATGTGCTCGTAAGTGCGATTCCTAAAGCTGTGGGCGCTCTGAGTAAGTACGCTGGTCAACGCCAAGTTTCGATCTGTCCACGCTACAAGGCGATTTATCAGTACTGGAAGAACAAAGCTAGCTAGCGGTGGCAGGATCGCGTGTGCCCATTTAATGACGATACAAGGACGTTCAGTTGTGGCCTGAGTTTGTAAGTCCTGGATTTCAATTATATAGTGATATATGGTAATACTGGTAAATAATTACCAGTTGACGTAAGGGGGTCGCAGAACGATACCCCTGCGGGTAAAGGCCGACCTTTGTGCTAACCTAATACGTGAAAGGCGTATAACATAACGCCATACAGACAACTACGCTCCTGTTGAAATACGTGCCATGTTGTGCTGTATTGATGCCCCGGAACAGTTCTACACTAAATGGGTAAAGCTTAATATTAGTCTCGTCCCTGTTTCTTGTTGGTGAATTCGGCCATCCAAGCTCGCATCTTTCCTTATTACCTGCTGCTGTCCCTGTATGTGGAAAGAAGCAGAGGCCTGCAACAGGTTCTTCGCTTCAAAAGTTTTTAGATTAGTGTGGACACAGGGATCGTGTATCAATGATGGTTTCATCGCGCCGAAAAGCCGATAGCGGCAATCAGTTATAAACACCGGCTCCCAATCGTTTGTCGCCATTGGAAAGCCGATTCAAAGTTACCCGTTCGCAGAAAATATTAGACATCTGAGAACGATATCGAACGAAGAAAATTTCCACCCAGCCATTTATCTGCTTGCGTACAGCGCGCAGCGGTTTCCACCGTCGATGTCCGTTGATGTAAGTACGAACAATCATCACGCACCCCTCTGCTTTCTTGATAATGATCCCACTCAGCGAAACTATACCACACAGATACCATCGCCGTAGTAAATAAGATATCGCTTGCGCATTGCAGAAAGTCTCAAGCGACTAAGATTAAACGGCAAGACAAAATAAAATCGCCGTGTAGGTCGAAAGGCACCTTTCCCGGTGGATTATGCCAACGTCCCCCTGTCAAGCAGCTTGTTACGATCCGTTATCACGAGTGGCGACAAGACAAGTAGAGATCTAGGTAAGCTGAACGTCGGTTCATTGAGAAATCCTACTAAGTTATAAGTGGTTTTTACAGCGGTCTACTTCTTGTTTACTGCTCTAAATATTTCGGTGTTGTTACTTGAGCAGTTAGCGTGATCGTTGCTGCCATTGCAGTGGTTATAGATTCCAATAAGTTAGTTGACTCACTCACGCTTGCTTGCTTTCCGACGTAGCCTGTCGCAGCAAAAGCCTAAGGAGCACGGCAGAGGTAAGTTGTGACGAAGAAAAAAACAGATATCGGAAGAGAGCGGTCAATTTTGGGTCCATGCGTACCAGCGTGACCAGAGCTGACTTAGACGTTTGCAATAGCTGAATGCGGACACAACAAAGTAGAACCTACTTCGTGCTACGCGTCTTGCCTTTTCTGGGTCCGCATTTCGACGATGGGAAAAGAGTGTGACTAGCTCTAGGGTTGCACGTGGGTCTTTGTATATGCATCGAAGCACGCCACAATACATAGGCAATTTATTCCAGTTCCGGTCACAATATTGCTTGTAGTAGTAGCAGCAGTAATCGTAACGGTGCGGTATACGTAAAGCGCTCCTATTCAAAGCATAATTCTTCAAGACCAAGTGGCATCAGAAGTACTTTGCTGAGCGCCGTATAATTAGTACGACGACGGCCAAATATGACGGGTAGAGTCACATTGTATATCCGATGCTGTTAAATTCGAAACAACCGATGTATAACATACGAACTCGTATATTAAACACTAGTAGGTTTTGTGCACCGATGACCTGGCAGCAGTTCATCTATTGCACCAATCGTACATTTATGATGAAACCAAGAAAAACAACACTAGCTAAAATACCCATCTTAGTTTCCATCTGTCACAATCATGTCATCTTCTCAACAAAGCTGTTAATACTTTTACGAATGCTATAACAGTAACTGCTTTCATTGACGCTATAAACCCAATCTAAACAAATAGCATATAATTCACCTATCATTATAGTTACGTCACGGCGCTACCGTAACCCAGACAGCATGACTTGAGTAACTTGTTCGACAGGCAGCTGACGGACTCGGTTTTTTAGCCAGGTCACATGAGTATTGTCCTGCCTTTTTGTCTCTCGTTTCAAGCGTACAGCGAACTTTCGTGTAGCTACCGCAAGCCGGGATTGCATTGTAATGCTATATTGAATGCGGATTTTGTACGTATTATTTAGCATACCTTGCCGACGAGCAAAAGGGCACGCACAGTCACTACCACAGACGAGCATCAATCGTGAACAACACAACTCAATGATAATTAGTGAGCTCATATAGTAATGGCCATAGTCTTGCTATGTTTCTGTCCGATACGGCTTGCATCCATCTACTTTTAGCGCTCATTACGAACTATATTGCTAGTGAAGAAACAGCTGTACAAAACACCTTGTGTTACTAATTAAAATGACATCGTGCATGGCACACAAAGGCCAGCAGCATGATGCACGAATGCATGTACTCTGGACGGGGCCGGGTTTAGTTACTGCTGGCCTCTTCGTGACAAGCCGGTTAAGAAAATGCTTCGCAGAACTGTTCGGATCGACATCGAACGATCAGAAAATTCAGAAGCGTTTGTAGGAACATTTAAGAAACGCCCGAGGCTCTGCAGCTGCGAACGCTCTATAGGTAAATGTTTCTACAAGTAAAACGGCTTCAAAAACCTTGTGAAAGTTTGGAGCAGATTTGGATTCACATAATGGCCTTCTATAACACTATTATATATATATATATATATATATATATTGTATCTAGATTCCCAAATGGGTATATTATATACTTTTTACTTTCGAAAGTGAAACAGCGATACGTCAAGGTCCGCGAATTTGAGGTAAACGACAGTCCTTAAAATCCATTCAGATATGAAGTCCGTTGTAAACTACAAAATTACTTTCTTTCTGGTAGCAGGCCTCCCGTAATCGGGGAGGCGGAGGCTCCAGAAAAAAAGTTTTTTTCTATCACACTTCGAAAAAGTTTAGACCTGCTATTCATCCAAACAAGAGATATCTATGCTCGTTAGGACAAGTGTATATCGTGTTGAAGTGCTGACTGGTCAGATGCAATGCAAAGCGTTATCGAATGCTGTTATGACGTTGCAGTCTTTGGCTTTGTTATTGTTTATATGCATAAATATCCTCGAAGTGCGGAAATAGCTAAAAAATATCAACGTGTGTTCTTTATTAATTAATTGAAAGTGTCTAACATTGTGTATACATGCGTTTCAAATATTACGCATCCAATTTTTTTGCAAATATTTAAAAAGTTTAATTAATAATACGATTTTTAGCACTACATGATTATGATTCGTTTCCATTCCTACTTATACGTATGTACTAAACGTAAACGAGTTCTTGAATACAAGTTCATTCATTATTGAAAATTTATCATCATTCTGCAAAAAAGCATCATCATTCTGTAGAATTAAATGTTTAGTAAGCAAAATACTGACTTCCGTTGTTTGTATGGCAAGCATAATACCCATGTAAAGCAAAAACGCTAGTGAACATTTAATGTTAATAGTGATTTTGGCGTGCCATTTCGCTTGCTTATAAGGTGGCCGCTGCTAGAAGTGGCGATGGCTCCAACGTACGTTTAATAGCGTCCTGATTGTCTGCACTAGCGGCCTCTACTGATACAGACATTCGCCAGACTGAGTGGCACTCAGAGACCTTTAACAGAAGCATTAAATAGTCATCTTGTCTTCAACGATGAAAAGGACCTGCTCTTTTAGGCAGGACTGATCTAATTCGGGCTTTCGCACCTAAAAAAAACATATTGTTAACCGCACGAGATCTATATATGTGGCTTAACAAATAGATGTTGCTACTGTTATCGCTCTTCGGTATCACCGCTACTGATAATAGAACGTGAAACACAACCGCTTACAGCAGACTATCGACACCGGAAGGTTTCCGGCACGGGGCTATTTAGTATTTAATATCTATAATATATTTATATATGATTATTAATTTGACCGTCTCTTTAAAAATTCATTAGCATCAATAATTATATCCTGCGGTGGAGATGGGTGTAGCTTGCTTTTGCTGCTTTGTCCTACTTTTTTCGTTTTGCTACTTTGTCCTAGTAGTGATGTCAATTCATAAAGTTCGTTCGACCGTTTGCGTGTGACGCCAGCGTGAATGAATATAATATATATAAATGTCGGGTTTCGGTTCGTCAAAGGAGATTAACGGATCTAAACCAAAGTTGCCGTTATAGTCTAAATATTCTATCCTAAAATTATATGCGTTTTCGGATTTGTGTAAACATTCCATTCGTCGGGTTCGCTCAGAGTAAGTTTCATATCAGCACGAAGTTGTAGTGGGCTCAATATACATTCAGTTGTGGTGTTTTCAAGCTAAACTACTAATGATTACATGAAAAGACGATGACGCCATTGCGGCCAGATGATCCACGCATGCCCGGTAGTTGAGCTTGTTTTAGAATAAGGCGAAGGTCGTGAGTCCTTAAATCTAAACGCTTTAACACCTGTGCACATATGAGCCCTTGTCAACAATACCACCGTCTTTATACTTTCTTTAACAGGCCAAAAAAAGTGTAACTAGAGAATGTACATCGGGTGCAGAATGTGCCCGCGATGGGGATTGCAGAAAAGATAATCTACTTCGGTTGGGAAGCGAAGATATTTGTGAAGAGTATTTCGGTATCGTCTAACGATAGCGTTCAGCGCAGGCTATCATTATTGTTATTGTTGATATTTAGCTAGATAATTAGCAAGACTTGTTTATTTTTGTTTTTTAATAAATATTGTTTCACATTTTGTCAACAGCTGATTGACTCGCAAGACCTAATTGGAGCAAAGCATTGGCCAAAGACTTTGCGCGCATCACCAAGTAATACGTTGAAGCTGTTCCTTGCATCATAAAAGATATGACCGTACCCTTAACTCAGAGATACTGAGATGTGGATATGAAGAAAATCAAAGTAACAGTCGGCGGAATCCGTTCACTTGGTCACTTCCATTTCCTGGCAACTGCGTTCCTAATACGTATTTCAGTGCTGGGCGTAGTTCTTTTCATCGCCACCTTCGTGTTCTTCATGGAAAGCTTTGGCAACCAGTTTCTGTGGATCGCTAGTGTGCGACACATGTGTGCGAGATATAATCTGGCGTATACACTGTGGGTGGAAATCTTGCATCGGTTAATTAGATGCAAGCGAATGTATTCGTTATACCGCTAAAAACCCAGTTGGGCCAATTTGAAATAATACAAAATCCAATGTAACGGCTAGTGCTCACGAAAACCTATTATCGCTAGAAGTACCAATCCGCCGCGAAGCTATATTCCTTCCGTTTTGGCAGCCGCCATTTTGTAACCTGAAATATACCATAGGTTGATCCTTAATAACCGAATATCTGATCAGTAGTGTATGTAGTGTGTTCGCCTCCTGAGCTCGTTAGCGTTCACGGAATTGTCAATTATTATCATTCTTTTTTTCACCGCTACTTTACCGCTTTACACCGCTATGTTTACGTTTTCTCGAATCATGGTAAATTAATTCCACACAGTAAATACCGCTTACACGCAGAAGTAGACATTGCCATGGAAAAATTGAATGCGAGTCAATATAAGTCCAAAGCCAGCTGTCACTTTCTAGCGGGACTAGAAATTACGCTCACCAACCTAAAAACTGGCAAGTGCTGGGTATTAAACCCATGCAGTCAGCATTGCTTAGTAACGTGCTAATCCCCTGTACCGTTTATTACTTCGGCGACTTGCGATATAAGCCAATATAGCAAAACAGAGGAAGTGTTTACGATGCTATAGCGCACGTACTTTCGTAAACATTCTAATTTAAAACGATATAGCTGACTCTTACGCCTAGTTGGTAGTAGTTCTCCGTTGATGGAAAAGAGGCAACAAAGGAAAGCGTAAGCTCACGTGGTATTCGTCACGATCAATGTCGAGCTGACGAGCACTTTACAATGTCGCTCTTGAATCAACTGTGCAAGAGCTGAGCTGCCTACGATAGCCGAAGGTTTCTAAAGGATTACGAGGATTGTTTAGGGTCCCGAACAATCCTATGACCAGGTTGTTTCCCAGCGGTACACTCAAATAATTGACCGCGCTGCCATATATATAAGAGTCGTTATGAGCAAAGTCAAGTTTTCACATCTCAGCTATTAGATGTGCCTTAATTAACCTTAAAATGTGCCTTAAACAGAAAAGCCAGTTTAGATAGAACGGTGTTGGTGGAAACGATGTTGGTAGAGTATGTAACAACATTATGCATCTAAAATAGTTGAGGATTTGGACGAAAAGACAGTGACTGGCATCGGTGTCGAGAAGCCAACGCTTTTAAGATGGCCCTTAATTTTCATAGCGATGATTAACAGGTTCTGATCACGAGCGATAGTAACAGTGGAAGTAAAATTTTTCGTACGGTTCGTATTAAAATATCTTCTGTTTTTTGTATGTGTTATCGACAGAATGTCGCCCCAAGGAATATGTATATTATCATGCTTATTGCTGATAAGCTGCGCTGGGTCAGCAGAGCTGCTTAGCAGCGACAGAAAAACTACCGGCAACCCATCGGTGAATGATCGACTAGACATCTGCATGAAGTGTACTTGTCTCAATAAACAGATCACATGTAACTCCGGTAAGTTTATCGTTGCGTAGAAACTAAAGTGTCTTAGCTGAATATGAAAGTGTCTACTACTATACACTAAACTGTCATATATTAAACAAATCAGAACGATTACGAAATGTTGGACTCGTTTGTACAGGCCGAAGACCAAGTTGCTTGTCAAATACAATTCTGTGAAGATCTAGGGCTCAAAGCCTATTTTTTTTTAGACCCAGACAAAAAGCTTTTTGGATCACCACTTTTAAGAAATTATGGCGTGCTGTATGTTTTTTTACAGACCTCAAACTCAGCGACGTACTGCTGCTTCAAGCTCCACGTGACTATAACGTCCTTGACCTATCGACCCAGCAACTCACTACCATTCACGAGGAGAGCTTCGTTGAGGGTGTCGATATCACCCAGATCAACCTTGCCTACAACCACATCAGTTATATCGCCCCTTTCGCCTTCCGCGCCTTCAAAAACCTTACTAGGTTAGAAAAAACACAGGTTGAATTTTGCTTCAGCTTGTATTGTAGGCTGTTTTCCTTCTTAATCGGCATCACAGAAGCACGTGTTCATTTTTCATTTATGTTAACTTCTTTAGTTTTTTCATCGTCATTTTAAAACCACGTTAGAACAATGGGTCTGGTTAGGCTAAACTTAAACTTTTAATTTGGAACTATTTACAACGTCATAATGTCACAAAAAACAATTTGCCTACCCTGAAGTCAACAAACCTCAGATGTTCTTATTTTAAGTTTTCGACGACTCATGAATATCTCTGGAAATAAAACGAACTAACTTATTTTTTGTGGTATGATTGTAACTTTAGTCGAATAATATTTAATATAATAATATTTAATTTAACAAAGTTTAACATACTAGGGCAAACCTTAGTTTTCAGCATGTTGACAAAGCTTTTATGCCAGGCAAGTTTAGAAAACCTGTAACGTTCTTGAAGATGGTAAACATATAAATAATACCGAATAGGGGCACAGATTCTAACTAATGCGCTTACCGTGACCCAGCCCAATAGGCACATATCAAAGCTATTTATGTAGCGTCGGTTAAAGTACCGATGCTCTAAGTGTGTAGCATCTATTTAACAATGTAAAATCACTTCGTTCGAATTTTTGCGATGAGTAGACTCGGCTGTGAAGTTAATTGTTTCACTGCAGGATATTATTAACACGTTTTATATTGATGAAAACGTAAAACAGTAAATGCTAGGGATGACTGAATAATGAAAGCATCAAGCAGTAAACGACAAGGGCCAAAAATAGACAGCACACTTCGTACAAGTAGATATAATTATCGTAGGCATTGCAATTAGGCTTCCTTCGTTATGTTTTTTGCCATTTTAGTATTACGCTGGCTTATAACAACCTGGTTACGTTGGAAGATGACAGTTTCGCTTATCTTCCACGTCTTGAGGAACTCGATTTGTCCGTAAACCGATTCAAGCATTTTCATCCGGAGTATTTTGCCAAGCTGTCAAATCTCAGGTACCTGATCCTCGACCAGAACCACCTTGACAGTCTCCACAGTTCTGTTTTCAGGAACAATACTAAGTTGACGCATCTGCATATGGTAGGTGCCATTCATTTCGCGCCAAAGTTTTGAAAATGGATGACGAATTATCGCTCAAAGCTTCCGCGAACAGTTTCTGATTTTGTCACACGAAAATTATCGCAGAATGGACCTAGCTCTTTTTAGAAATCAAACATATATGTGCTACACTGTAATGGCAATGCAGTAATTGATGCAATCAACAATTGAAGTATACCACTCGACAACGGCCTGCTCATAAGGCTGTTTGATTTTTAAAATCCCATAGCTTTTTTTTTTATAAATACGCATTTGCTCTGAATATTATTTGCCCTATTTTAAGTTCCGTTGTTTTGTCTTTTCCTCACTTATTTGTAGAACAAACTTTACATAGACAGGCTCGACGACAACCTGTTCCAGTATACAAAGGACATTCAGGTCCTCCATCTGGGAAATAATTTTTTCGAAACAGTACCGTATCGGGCTTTGTCCAAACTGCTCAGGCTTGAGGTCCTAACACTCAGCGGAAACCCCATACACTATCTTGGGCCGGCGTCATTCCCCTGTGAGTAAAGATTTATATATGTTCTGGAGAAAGAGATGATTAAAGCCACAATCTGATATCTTTATTATTATCATTGTATTGTTCCAATGTTATTTAAATACGAATATATTTTTCTACTATCTTTGATTATATTTTCGTGAGGTTTGCACGAAGTTGTTCTTTTACTTTCATTTACCCTACTGCGTAGACAAGACATCGTACATATCATACGTTTAAAGTCCATCCCAAGAAAGCATGTAGCGGGTTAATGCACCTCATGGTTTGATGTACGCTAACTACTGATAAAAGGGACTTTTACCTTAAAGAATATGTACTAGCTACGGCTTAAATAATGAATCCTACCTTTTAGGTTTTCTCGCATCTGCTTTACAAGGGACAAGTTGTCTTGAACTTGAGAACTTGACGGTAAAATTTGTAGATAGCAGGTTAATAGCAGAGTAGATATGGTTTTAGAAACAGGTGGTTATGAATAATAAAGAAATAAATGGTGTGCTTGTATGCAATAACTATCTACATGTAGCCGATCGTTAATGCCTCCATTTCGGTTACAAGCAAACTTTCCATATAAAGTAATAAAAGCAATCTATATTAAACTGGATTTCAGATCTTCCAAATCTCCAGCAGCTAATCTTGCATGATATGTCCAGCCTACACCGAATCGAGGTTTACTCGTTCAGCGACTTGCCAATGCTTCGCAACCTAAAGATCCAAAACTGTAAAAACCTCCTCTACATCGATCCCAAGGCATTTATGTAGGTATATTAACTTAATTAAAAAATCATGACGCAAAGTTGTATCAGGATTCAGGAAACTACTATGAATAATAGAACTTTTGCTTGATCATTTGCCTTATCGCTTGCCTCTTTGCCACATGCCCTTGTACGTTATATATATTATAGAGCCATGTTTGCAGCTGTAGACGTTTGTATGTTTGTTTAATAAGCAAGAATCTTATAGGGCAATAACTGGTTCAGTTTGATATTGGTGTCAATTGTACTTCGTCTACTTTTTTTTTTTTTCGCACAAGAGCTAATCTGGCTTCTCCGCTTTTTGTTTCCTTCTGGTTATAGTCTAAAGATGCAAAACAATCCGGTAAAGTATCCGAAAATAAGGAATCTCGTTATTTACGACACGCAAATTACAACGCTTAGCAAGGACCTCCTCAACTGGGATGATATTGACGATCTCGACTTGGGAAAAAATCAGTTCCATTGTAATTGTAACTTCACTTGGATAATTGAGGTTGTTAGAAAACAAGAAGTGAACAATCGGATTCGATGCAGTAGTCCCCCGGCGTTTGCAGGCCACATAATTGGCGAGCTGCAGGCCAGTGAGGTGCCTTGCGACAATTTCGATCCGCTGGCTAACGATCCCCGGTTGCGAGAACATCGGTTATCGGCAAAAACGATTGCTACCCACCGAGGTTTCTCTCTGCTCCATCTCGTCGTTGTCGTGATGTCTGCAGTGACCGTAGTGCTCAGCATATTGCTCCTCCTGTCACTGAGGAACCGGGGCTTCCTGTACCGAAAGCTTGGCAAACCTCAACCGATGACGTATGCAGGCGGCGAGAACGTTCTCTACATGCGGACCACAATTGATAACTACTAGTTTTAGATAATAACAATAGTGCCCCGAGTACGGTTTTTTGGCTCTCGTAGTTTCCTCTTGACGGATTACATACATACAGGACATCTATTGAACATAAACGGTAGCTTAACTTGCCAAAGTCAGCCAGATTCCTAAGACAAATACTAAGTTATCAAGTTGACGAAGTTGAAGACGACGCTTCTTGTTTTGCTGGCAGAATGTATTATAATCAATTCGTGTAAGATACGACGAAGCGATTCTTTTTCGAACTAACGCTAATTGGCGGTATGTAAATTCAATGGCGCTAGATAGACATTTGCGGAGAAATATCCCACCAGGAACACAGTGTTCTTCAGGGGGAAATAAAATCGAGCTCAAACTGTTTCGTTACCTGTTTGGCGAACCCTTACAAAACTGAACACTTTAATAAAGCCAGACCTTTTCGGAAATCTACGACACTGTCCAGGGGCATTAGGCTGAGTCCCAAGGGTCGCAACATAAATAATAGATGACGGATATCCCATAAAAGAATTCAATCACCGTGCCGCTCTATCGAACTATAATTATCGTGTTTTAAATTTAATATATACATATATATGCACTCTTATCATTCACGTACACACAATATAAAAGCGTAATTTTTGCACAAACGCTTGTACGAGAATAAACGGCGCAATCAGTTTACAAATAGAGACAAAGTGACGGTTGAATGGCCACTGTATACACATGTACACTCGACAAGCAAAAGAGTGTGACTAACCAAAGTAAACATAGCCACGACGTAGCAGTAAAACGAAGTACTAAACAAGAAAGACAAAGGTGGTCATGTAATCCCGACTGTGCATGGGAACAACGTAATGGTCACAGAATTATTTTTATATTTAATAATATATACGAAGCATATATTCCGTAGATACAGTTGGCAGTACGATTGATGTCTGAAAGGGAATACAAATCTGTATACGGCACTGTCTCGTACTCGTCGCTTCAGGCCGGCGGAAAGTGCCTTAATCACTGCAGTCAGAAGCCATTTCTGTTTTTTGTTGACTATAGAAGAAGACGAAACTATGAATTGCCAAGCCGTATAGACCAGGCAACGGTCAGGTATCGTCTATAGGATCATTGATGAAATAGATTACGACTGTCTTTTGTTTGCACATGGTTTATAATATGTACAGATATGAGGAGGACTTCGTATGATAACGAGCGAGCAACTAATGAGAGATCTCATACACCGTTTTTTTTCTAGTACATTCGCCTAATATTATTTGTGATGGATCGACGAAATATCTCCAGGCTTTATTATAGACGTAAGAAAATACACTGTATGACGCGCGTTCATACGTAGCTGGCAAAAAAAGATCCTCAGATTTCAACAGGTGTCTGCATGACCAGATGTCCCGTATCGAATCATTTGTCATGCATGCAAACAAGCCATTTCTAATCACCATCTACATGTACTATATTACCGACGCAAGTTAAGCTAAGGCGCGTTATAAATTACATTAGAATTGGATTCATTTGAATATCATGCGCCCGCTAACAAATAATTACATCTGCAACTTCTAAGTTACAATGACTTCGGTGGCTGTTTTTTTTTGGTACAGGACATTTCTGCCACTGCGGTCAGAAGTTCGGCCATGATGTTATCGAGAACGTACGTAGACATCGCAGCCCCTATAAGAAAGAAGAATGTTTGCCTATTTTGGGCGTTCTCGTCTTCTTGTGACCCACTTCCGCTAGTCCTGCTATCGTACATTGCAGAGCATATCAAGTTAGGGACTCTTAGCCGCACCCTAACAGGCATATTATTCATTGAATAATTCCACTTTGGCGTTAAATATTGACATCTCTGCTAGACAAGAGAGACGAACCCATTCCCGGTATGATTCTGGACAATGTGAGCGACTAAATTGTCATCTTATAAAGTAGTCAAAAGATTTTTCTAGATATCGAATAGATGTGTATAGACGTGTCATCGCGGAGATATCGACTGTCACGCGAAAAGCTCTCACGAGTTTCCCCGTTCGTGTTCAGTTATCATGTACACAAGAATCTAAGATATTTATCATGTTAAATAGTTGGGATTTTTTCTATCTATTAAGAACTAGTGGAATAAATAAATGGATAGGAACCGCATATAATTGATGGTTTCACTTATTACATTTCAAAGATAACGTTTTCCTCTTTTTCAATGCGTCACATAGGGAGAAAGCATAAATCAGCTTTCTTTTCTGCGTACTAATTTTTATAGTACGCCAAACCTTTGAAGGGCACTTTGAAAATAAAATATGAAGCCCAGGTAAGAAATAGGAATATGCAGTGCCCGCGCTTTACGGTGCAGGATATATCCCTATTGAACAGATTGATGTTTCGGAAAAACGGGGCAGTTCCCATGCCGTAACAGTAATAATCTGCTTAGAATAGGTAAGTTATCTATATACTTCTCATTGGTCTATTCATTAATATGTCTGATAGTATCAAGGGGCGTCACTTGTGCAGTCCTTACCTTTCTCGACACCTTCTGGTGTACCGTGTGAACGTAAATGACATTGAAAAGAGAATGGCGACTGCTAGCACCGCTGTAAAGTTTAAAGCATAAGACATGTTCAACACTTTATTGAGCCTAAATGCTTCCTGCTGAATCATAACGTTATTGAACTGTTTTTTAATAAGCCGATTAAACACTCGCATGGTAAAATATGAGATAGGCCAAATATAAGAAAGTGCTTGGTAGGCTGTTTATTCATCGTAGAGCTACATCGTCAAATTTCGTCCTCGTGCGGATTTCCTATCTATGCTATGGTAGGTACTGGACATGGTACTGTAGATGCCACTGTTCAAACTGCGCCTGAATCCCGTCTACCTGAAACCAGATTGTCCATCGTATACCATTGACTCATCGATTGCTTTCAGTCGAATTGTCTATGAATCGCAGCATGTATATCAAACATACGAGTGCTCTCTACAAGCACCAAATGCAAATCTTCGGTGATCGCTTAGATGTAGCTCCTGCTGCGCACATCGGCAGATCTGTGTATACAGCTGGTTTTAATTCGAGCAATCCAGTTTTTCGTAACCAGGGCACTTTGGCCTGTGTCCGGCAGGTCCCGGCGTATCTGGTGCTGATTGTGGAGCAGACGATTCTTTCGTTGTAACCTTTTAACTAAGCGCCAATGCTCCAATCAATATGTCAATAAATATATCTGTACCCTGTCAAAAATACAGGTTTGTCTGGCTCCTCACCTAATAGAATAACTGGTAGACCGCAGGAGGTCGAGAGAAAAGTCGATGGTGCGGGATTTGAGGAGGCGCTCCGCTCTTGTTGTAGAACGAACGAATTCGCGATCGCCTCTCCTCGTCACGCTCCTGCTCCCAGAGCTCGTGCATAAAACGGAGCTGTCCATTCCACGTACGCGTACATCCCGATTGCGCCGTTGGTCGGTGACAACGAGTCGAGTATCAGGGCAGATGGTTAACATTGTATGGCGTGTACAAGATCAAGATTTTTACTTTTGAATTAGTAAGCGCCGAGCTGGTGACTATAACGGCCTGTCAACAATGACAGTTCCACATAAAAATTCAGTCGACTAAGAATTTTTACACTTCTAACTGCGGGCATCAGGATATATTTTGCTGAATCAAAACGTTGCAAACGTGTTTCCAAACATGCGTGTATGTATATAGGTATTTAACCGTCATAATTTAAATAAACCCCGATTTATTCTACAGTAATATAATGAAAAGTCTTTGGGCTCCACGTCGTGTCTCATATTAGCGTCGATGCGTTAACTCGAACAGCGATACCTTTAAGTTATATGCAAACGTAGTACTTCGTTATCAATAAGCATTAACGTCTTTTTTTTTTGGTATTTGTTTGGCACTAAGCACCCAAATCGCACTGTCTTTTATAAAGAAACTAACGTTGACTATAGATATATAAAAAAAAAAAAAAAAAAAACAATTCATAGATATACACAGTTACAAGATGCATGACTAAACAAATCTAGTATTGACATTATGACCCTCACTACGTTTAGAACCAGTGACACTATACTCATGTATATTATTATGCCTGCATATGCAGTATTATCAGTACGTTACTCCCTTTAGTAAGACTGGTTATGGTTAGTTATAGCCGGAAATCTTCAATCAACGAAAAATTTATTTGTGACAGACAACTAATAACATTGCGACCTGCGGGTAGACGTTGTTGTGATTTCTGCAAGCAAACTGACGCAGTAAATGATTCGACTGATAAATGAACTGGAAAAGCTTCCCAAACACAAACATGCATCTATTCCCTGAGCATACGATCTGTGAAACATATAGGCGTCATGCTACTCCCAAGCCATTGTTTGATCCTATTAACTAATGATAACACTAACCCGTCGGTTTTCCATGAAGCGCCCGTGCGCGGCATGCTGGGAGTGGAGTTGAATTGGCTCAATAAGGTACATCCGTCGTTGGAATGGAACCCTCGCTGGGTCATAACCTTGAATCGAGTAGAGGGGCATATAGCTCGGTGAGTGCCTGAAGGCGATCAAGCAACGGAGAAAACATGACATAAGAATAGGGTCCTTTTAGTAATAGTCAGAGGTAGAGGAAGGTTGGCCTTATGGAAGAGAAGGTAGATAGCATTCCGTTTGGCAGACGTCGGCGGGTAGGGCGGTACTTTCCTTGCGTCGAACCGAAGATGCTTATGGCGGAATCATAGTTTTGTTTAATGTTAGAAACTCCAGCTACAGTGTAAGGTGACGGCCATTCCCACTCTGTACATTCAAAGCAATAATTACAAGAACAGATAACACCCCTTTCTCGACATTTAGCTCAAAAGTGAAACTCGAAAAGTCTAGGTAATTCCTTCGCCTATACGGTAAAGGACTTGTAAACCGGAACAGTGGCGCAAGATCTTGCCAAATAGCTAAAAGTGATATCTTGTCTTAGAAATCAAAGCGTTTAATTGGACGGTCGTGACGAACAAGGTATTGTAACGTCGAGTAAAAGTATCAGGCTATAAAAATACTTCAAAACAATTAAGTCAGAGGACCTGAGCATTCTCCGCGTCTGAGAGAATCTTTCGCAATGCTAGCTGTTGTGGCCAGTATACAATGGTTTACATGCTGATTGCTAGACGCATGCCTCAAGTGAGTACTGCCTCTACGTACCATCCGGTAAAGGCCTTATGCATATCTTCATGATGCCTCAGCTTATCTCGAGTTGCTAGTCGAGATGTGGTCTTTTGATAGACGTCGTCGTCGTGCAACCTAATGCCGCGTCGTGACGCGTTGAATCTGTCCAAAAATGTGCAAAAAAAACATTAGCGATTTAACGTGTAACTTATTTTGGATTTCCTCATCAATTTATATACTTCGAAAGTACTCGTTGGTTCCGTCGCAAATATGCAAAGTTAGTCTTGTCGTCGAACTTATTCAATAACGCTTAGAATAAGGCGAAAGTAGTTGCTAACTAAATTTATTCAACTATTCATTGGGAAAGAAATAATACCCGACTTACTACAGCCTGACTGAATTTTTAGCTCGGTATATTTCTCAAGTAAAAATAAACTCGTGTTTTATTTGACCAAATACTACAGCATCTATGTACAGTATATAGAGCATTGATCCACAACATAACCATTAGAGTAACTAAAGATTTGTCCCACGAGAGAAATGGTAAAGCGTAATTAAATAAACGATCTATACCTATCTGAGTATGTATAGGGTGAGGTAGGTAACGTCGACGATGAGTAATACATTGGTCTTCCGCGGCGCACGTTCAGATCAATGATGGCGTCTGTATACAGGGAACTGCCTATTAAATAATTGCGATGATAGGTACGCGGCACGAAGCGTGGCCTGCTGTATGACATCTTTGGCACCTGAAAGGTAGAAAACAAGCCGTCAATACTTTCGCATATTTCCAAGTCCGTGCTTCTCTAATACATTGTACATATATAGGAACGTGTACGTTGGAAGCATGATAACCCGTAGAATGGATGTCTGTCGCGTTGGTCATCTATCAGACAAGAAAAAAAATGTATCCGCTATGTTCACGTCAGAAATAACATCACCAAATACCGGACCTGTGAATTTGTTAGCTGAATGATTAAAATGATTGACACGGGACAGGTTCTACAATGGTGGAGCTATGCGAAATTCTGTTGTAAATCTATATGACACTGGGAAAAGAAGATATTGTACATTTTTACCTACTTATCGCATTAAAAACATCTACGTTGAACGCTAATTTGATCCACCACTAGCCAGACTCAATGCCAAAGGGTCTCATTCGACTCAACCGTTATTATCATTGTTTGTGAGCGGATTTATGTTCATAGAAAACAGGTGATTGATTAATTTACAGATTCAGTCGATCTCTTGTATTATAGATGCACTCCGTGTAGACGGGCCACTTCACGGACAGAAATTTTCCACGTCAATTTTTTTTTAAATTACAATAGGTTTTCGTCTGAAGCGAACCTCTTCTGAATGATCATATTGCCGTACATATTTGCTAGTGGTTAAGAAATAAAACGATCTCCGCATAAAGAACCAGTTTGTCAGATTTTAATTTTGTGACATTTTTTGTTTCTCCTATATTTCTCAATTTGCAATTGCCAAATATATATCAACAGGTTGCTACACATGGACTATTTACCGACATGTACCGACAGATACTCAACAGCTGAATACGTGTAACAGCCAACCCACAATGGTCTGGCTAGTAATAGATCTGCATCGAACAACGCCCTCGATCTCGATTCGCGAATGCCAGCTCGTACTATCAAGTTGTCCATGGATAGACTTCATGGAACAGAAAGGCCAACAATTTAGCGGCATTCCGGCGGATTGAATATACCGCGTTTAGGTATTATCCATCCGAATATGCTTGTAAAGATCAGGTTGTCATATACACTCCACCATATGCAACATTTCACCTTCGGTACATGAATCTAACATGGCACGCTAAATTGGCATGGATTCCTTTTTGCTCGTTTCAGTTTGGCTTGTATCTTTGTCTCGAAGTAACTCAAAGGAATAAAACGATGAGTCGCTGAGCCCCTTAGTGTACTTGTATGACCGCGATGCAACCCCTTTTTTTAAGGTCTAGTGACCTATACGCATCTTGTTACATATCTTTTATGGAATAGATATGTTAGGTAGCGCTAGGTTTATATTGCCTTGCCAGAATTGTAACAACGAGTAGGCTAGCGGTATTTGCAGTGAGATATTTGCGTTCGCGGGGACCACAGTCGTATTATGATTCACTGGTGCAAATAGACTTAGGCACAGGCTTTTGTTATTGTATTCTCATTCTGAAAAGAATGGTCCCTTTGGCAGACGTCATCGGAAGGTGCGTCCTGTGAGGCAGTGTCTGTAATGGCCTAAAAATTTCATTGCAAGGCAGCGGCGGCGGCGGCGACGGTGGCCCGCCAGCGTACGTCAAGACATATTGCCCACGTTGATAAATAGAGTTATGTCTTTAATCGCTTAATGAGTAGACTGAGCTGAGAAAGGGATTCTGAAGGGGCTCTCCCTGGCACAATGGAAGTGTTTCTTGCTTATTTTCTATTGCACTGCAAGGGTAGTTCAAAGCAGGTGAGGGCGTGTTATTGCCACGCTTGCGTCATTAGCTCCGCTGCTGCCCGTACTTTGTAGGGGGTTCGGTAACAGATCGAATGATATTGACCTGTCTAACTGGCTATCCTGCAAACAAGCCGACCAGCCAACGGACCCTTGTTAGGGCTAAGAAGATTTCGTGCAGGCCTTAGAGTTCTGCATTTCTCTATACTACGCTCGAGCCTGTGGCACCTAATTCAAGGCATTGTACCATCATTATTGCAATAAGGCATTGGCCTTGCACAGGCTCAACTGCTGCATGAGAGGCTATTATTATTATTCTTAAGCATTTCTGATTGTTTACTTGATAATACAAACAACGGCCGTTTTACAGTGGCCTGGTGGCCTTAGCAATTTGTTCGTTACAGGATTTCTTTAACAGTAGATTCGTGGTAATAAATAGGGAACGTTTGTGGATAACAGTAATTTTCATATTGTTGATTGCGAATTCTCATTTTCTTTTTAGAGATGAGTGGTTTCTAGTATGTTTATCTACGTAGCTAAGCATTGCGCATGGGTAGAAGGCTCCATCTTGATCGTAGTCGACGAATGGCAGCTGATCTTCGTGCGTAATATCGGTGTCCAGCGCAAGTTTATACATAAAACAAACAACCTAGACAATTACGCTACATTATAAATATCAACATAAATATACTTAATGTTAAGGTCGTTCAGCTTGAGGTTAAGCTCAGATGCATTCTTTTAAATGTATTTATAATTACCAGCTAATCCTCTTGCCGTTCGATGTTCCACGCTAAGACAAAGTGTTCATTAGACAATCATGCTTAATAGAAATTTCGAAATAAGAATGGAATCAGATGCAGTATCGTGTAATGTTTAAACTTCGTTAAACATAAAGCCCAGCTTTTTGTAACGATTTATGATCATGTATATTCAACTGCGCATGTGTATATGCAGTTTGTCCATTTGTTTTTTTTTTCAGTACATTAACTACTCGACACACTATCGTCCATTTGCCCGAAAGGGGCATTTATGTGGGCCTTCGTTAGCACGACACAGATGCCTTGCAGCCTGCCGACAGTCGCGATCTAATTTCGCTCGGACAAACTGAACGACAGGAAAGTACGACTCTACAATAGCCAATGATGTTGCTACGACAGCTTCAATCCGGCCGCGTGAGAGAGAATAGTTCGAGTGCGTTGACTTCGCCAATGTCTCTTCTTGCGAGAATATTAATTTTAAAGGGAAACCCAAACTCCGTCTGCTTGGGAGCGCCACGCAAGTCTGCTAATGCGTCGGGTCCATTACCTTTTGTAGCAGCCGGTAGATCTAAGCAAAGCGCAATCAGGCTAACGGGGTCGTCACTGACATAACATCGACACAGTATGCGGTCGTCCTCATTCCGGCTGTTCAGCCCTCGGCAAAGAACGTTACACCAACTTAGCATACTCGGTTTATAGGCCTGTAGACAAGCAGCATTCGTCCGTGTGGCATGCTGACCGGCCACCAAAATGTACGGCAGAGTGGGCTATCCATGGCAGTTTTGCTTCTAACTGGGCGCTCTTTTGAACGGTGCGCGGGTTCTAGCCCAACGGGTCCCACAGACAACGAATGAGCTAGCCCATAGGAGGGTTTACTAGCACCCACGGTGAACTTGGAAGACGGTCGCACGTCTCCGAAACGCCGTTGCGACTTAATAAGAGAATTTCGACAACTTCAAAATCGTTGAGCTATTAACTCGATTACTGCAAGCGACTCGCCCTATTTATATCAAATTCACTGAAATCTGTAGTTCTAATATGACATTTAGTAGTAAATGAAAGGATGATTCGGATTTCGGCAGTTAAATACATTTCATATTTTTACGTGGTGCTTATCTTAGAACGGTTGGCTGTTTTTGTGAAGCTTTTCAACAGTATGAAAAATGGTTTATCAGTATGTACCCGTGACAGCTTAATCAACGACGTATTTGCACGCTTATGGACTCGTTGTGTTCGATCCCCGGTGTAGACACATTGTGCCTCGTGGCGGGACCCACTTGTCTGACGGAGTGCTCGGCGGCGATATCTAACGTAAGACTCGAAACACAGAAATTATGCTAGTACTGTTTCTTTTTCTTCAATTGAAACGACCCAATGCACAATAAGCATGGCCTAATGGATATCGTATATATTGCATCAACTAATATCATCTAAGCGTGTTTTTTATGAATTACATTTTTCAATCCTCTAGGCTCTTCTGGGCAGTTGCGCTATCGGGTAATCTAAGAATTACCTTTTTTTTTCCCAAAAAGACCGTGGCTCGATAAGAGAACGCCATTGCATTTTCTAGCTTCTTGGGCTACGCACGCCTATACATAGGTTCATGCGAAACATAACTGGTATATAATGAATCAGTGTCAAAGTATAATAAGACCTATGATTGTCTACGTTGTTATCTATCACGCCGATACACCATTTTCCCTTACTGGTGGCATTTCACCCAATTTGCCGCTATAATTAGCATACAATAAAATAGCACTCTTTGAAGCTATGACCGCGGGTATTGCAGGCAAGTTGTCGAAACAAATCGAGCACTCGAGTGTTGAATCGAGAGTATTGAATGTAATATCGCTTAATGTGTACAACATTCGAATGTATCACATCGGCCAAGTCCCAACTCAAGGATAATTAACGTTACCCCGACATCGAGTCCGGGCTAATAGTCGGAGTTAAGTAGATAATTTGTGCACCTTATGCATACTTAATGCTCTCAATGGGCCTTAGTTCCGCCCAGTTTTATGGGTGACGTCGTTAAGCCAGTCGACAGTAAGATGAATATTTGTTAAACTCCTTATTTACCTTATTTATTGTATAATCGGCCCATTCTATGAGTATTCTCGTAGTGAAAACGTGAAACAGTCGTTCATGTCGACGGCCTTGATAGTAGAGAGGAAGAATGCCAGAGGATAATAGATCTATAGGCGTGTTCCAATAGGCGTCATAGAGAATGTCGCGTGCACCACCGTCAACTTGAAGGCAGGGCATTCTGCCAGGAAGGCAAAAAATCACTTTAGACTATGCAATTAGCTTAAAGTTATTCATGTAGGTTGCCCTTTGCCGCACCACCATACTGGCGGGGCTATCAAAATGACGCGCTGATTCACCAACACAAAAAAACCCTCTTCACATTAAGTTGGTAATAGGGCCGTTCAGCTTTTGACCGGAGATTGCCAGGTTAATAAAAAAAAAGTTTATCATCACAATGAAGCATGGGCGTTTGCGAAGGACAAAAAACCTGTACTTTTCACAATAGCCGTCTGCCGCGTGGTCGACAAATGTTCAACTCATTGATTTCGTCACTTGACGAGATCGAGTGATTCGGACGTACTATAACATTTATTAGTGCTTGATTTTAAAATTGTATTTGATTTATGCGGTTTTTGTTATAAATATTATATTACAGCGGGAGGACATCAAAGCTGTAGACGGTTCAAAAGCCTCGAGAAGTAGCCTTACCGTGCTTATATACCGGTAAAACTTCCTACTAGCTGCTTATGAAGACTGGCATAGAGCTTCTTATGTTTCAGCGTATGACGTTTGTTTCGTGCTTCTGGGCCAGCAGCATAACCTTGCATGATATTTAGGCTGCTAGAATCAAAATACGTGAAGCGATAGACACCGTTTTCATTCAAGCACAACGATGCTTGCCTCAGCTCTCACACACAATGCTTGTCCATTCACAGCAGGTACTTGAAAAGACAATCACTGTGTACGCAGTGCATTATACTATAATAATGCACACAAGTATGAGCTATCCTTGTTCGACGACCACTGTCAAGTGCAGATCCCCGCTACTCGGTAAAATCCAACGGTCCCTGAGCATACTATTGCAATAATTCAATTGCACTTCGAAAGAAAATGGTAAAAATGTATTCGGTAGTAATTGGGTACATTGATATTCTTTGTTTAGTAAGAGATTTCCGTAGTATATGGCTGGGAGACGGACGCGTGCTCTGTGCTACCCTAGTCCAAAGCTCACTTCTGCCTCTAGCCTAGACAATGTCTATATTATCCAAGGCAAGATCCGTAGAGCTGAAATTATATGAACAATCGCTGGAACGTCACAAAGCACTTGTTACCCTATATAATCATTAATTAGGTCATTGAAAATTTCTGGAAAAAGAAGCTCTCAGCTGTTCCTTCACCGAAAGTCACTTTTTACTTACCTCGCGGAGTCGCGACGATGCCTGAGATGGTTGAGACTGAACAGTGGCTCGTATCGATGTCCGCTGCTATCGTGTTAGATCCGCTAGAGACCCGCCAGCTCGTACTCGCCCTGCCCTCGCCGTCAAGGCTATTTTCTACAAGGCAGCTCTTCATCTCTGCCTTCTTTCCTCTAAAGCTTCAACTATGAGTTGCAAACCGCTGTCAGGTCGGCTTTGGCCTACAAAAAAATGCCTGAGCAGAGCAACGACGAGAAGCTCGTAAAGCTCGCGCCTACTTCTGTTCGTAGAACACCTGTCTATCATTTTCTCCCTGCTCAACATCAGAAGCAAAAGAAAGGTTTAGAAGCTAAGTCGGGTATATTATAAAATTATGGACATTACATGGTAAATAATTAGTAAGCAAGGTTCTTTAGCTGAGCGATAGACATATTCACAGTTGTTCTGTCACCTGTTTTCCATCGACGCAGTGATGTCAGGGTTATCTCAGAGGAAGAGGCCATGGCGGGAATTATTGACAGTAGACTCAAGAGGCGAACATGTCATGAAGATAAGCAAGTTGTTCAAATAAGGTAAATCTGGCAGATCGATGTATTTTTGTGCGTTGTACACGTGAGTTTGCAGTAAACGTCTTATTACTATTATTATTATTATCATTAATAAATCAAACAGATTTAGGCTAAGGCGTTCAGTGCATGCGATCTCTATAGAACTTATTGTTCTGTGGTCGAAAAAACTATTATATTGGAACGTAAGCAAATAGCTTAAGTGTTTTCAGGCTTCCGGATATCGTAAGATCAGCTGCATTGCTTAATTTGCCTATAATAATTCAGCATAGCTGAGCCACTGGAGACACCGCGTCCTGCACCAGTCCCACAAACGAAGCTTTTTTTGCATCCTGCTGAATGTATCTAGGGTTCTCTAAACTACGGGCGCCATATCTCCAAACGATTGTATCATATGGCATAAAGCCCAACTTCCTCGACAATGAAATAACGGGAAATCCGACGTCCGCAATATCTAACTAACTGCTATGCAGAAGCGTCTTTTCATAGCTATAGGCCTCTCGAGCAGCTTTCCAGCTTCGGACTAGGTCATCCTTTTGGTGTCGTAGCATACCAACGTATTCAACAGCGATCAAAATGACCTACCTAGTACACGCCTGCTCCAAACTTAAATATACACGCGTACCGTATAATGGTTTTGTGTAGCGACACCTTATCACTATACAAACTAATTCTTCGCAACGCAAAAGCCGACCGCCGTCGGTTTATCTAGACCTGTTGAGAGCGACCTTGATTATTGGCAACAGGTGGAATAAGCGGCTTGACACAAGCATATACCGCGTCCCACCTGTTTCATTGTTGACTCGCTATTTCACCTAATTTAACTAAGCCAAAGTAGTTACATTGTTAAATATATAGATGTTAAACCAAACAAAAACAAATCATTAGTCGCTGAAATACATTATTTGATCATATTTGTATCCTAACACCCTTTTATTTGGTATGGCGTCAAGCCACTGACGCAATAACAGATCAATCATTTATCATAAAAGGTGTCCCCACTATCTGGTTGCTTGAGATAATAACATGGTCCTTTTTTCTGCTTTTACACGCTACTCTCAAGATAGGTCGATTTATTATATTCTTACATACGCCTACATCATGTAGTAGAGTGACACCCATGGTGCAGAAGCGGCTGAATAATACACCTAAACAACTCGATGGATCCAGTTGCCACCGAGACAAAAAAAAGCAGGCTCTTTTTCTTCGTCAAATGTAAAGGATATCACCAGACAATGTCTGTTCCAATTACCAACCTAATGGCATCATCCGAATTAGCTCGCGCAGGGGCCATCCTCGAAAGCTTTTTTCCGAACAGTTGCTAACAAGATGCCCCGTTTAATTAGTTTTAGACGAGTCGACGAATTCCAAAACGCCATAGCGTGAAGCACGATGCAATTTCTACGGGCGACAATCACTACTCATGATGATCCCTGTTACCGGACAAACTCCTATAGTGACCAGTAAACGATGCCCTAATCTAACGGAAATCGGAAGCTGGGCCATTAAAGGAAAACGCAGGAACTGCTGTTATAGCTCCTGAAAGAAAGATTTTCATATTTACAAACAATGGAACAATGAAGGCACAAATGTATATCTTTGATGTCAGGTTCGTGAATCGCTTTCATCGACAGAACACTTATTATTGTCGGTCTGTACAAGAAGTCACAATACCGCTGTCTTTTTTCTTATAATTGATTTATGTTATTAAGTAAAGAAGTTTATCGAAAGCGTGGATGATAATCGCTGTCGAAACTAGCAAAATTTACCCTGTTCAATGTTAGAATTCATTCGATAAGAGCAACTTAAACGTAGCTGCCAAAGCAGCAATAAAAAGAACGTTATTAAAAAGTACCATAGGATAGTGAAATTTACCGTCGTGAATCACACACAAATCGGGGTCAATAAAGAAAGACTATTATAAACACTTCTAGATGAACTAATGATAATCCAGTTTCGTTCATTATACCTAAGACGGCAATACGCAATTGCTGTGAATTAGGCAGTAAATTACAGGGGCTGCGTGAATAATTTGCCTTATCTATAAAATGTACCTATTCTGTTATGTGATTAATAAAGTAGAGGTCTTTTTATCAATGCATACGATAGAGAAATAGCATGTACGACTTAGTTTTGTATGTAGGATCGTTCTAGACTTGTTGTCTGCTGTTTATTATTGATAATGTTACGGTTATTTTCCATGTACAAGAAAAAATACATTATATGCATGGAATATACATTGGCTGCTAGCCTATTAACTGGATACTACTAATTAAAATTTTTTTTAACAGCGGTATAAATCCACTCACATTATTTATTCTCCTCAAGTGCAAGTTTTTATATTTTTTCTAACCAGCTGCATATTGGCTATTGCCTTGGCCAACGCTGTTTGCCTTCAAAATTAAACTTGTTTTTATAGTTAATCATTGTGCAGACGGGGCTTTGGTTATGTGCATCCTATTCTAATACGTCTTATACTTAGGCTCTGTTCACACTAAATTTCGAACGTTACTGCTTTTTCAAGACGCAGGTGAATATATGAAAATACGCCGTGCGAAAGCCTAAGCTCGCTACGGCAATAGCCACTAAACTTTATAATCCTAACCTGATTAAAGGCTTTTTCTAGCCTTCTAAAAAGCGAAGATATCGGAAGACCTGCGTTACTTCAACGTGTGACTCCTTTAATAGGTCTCGTTTGTTCAGATGCTATGAAGAGCTTGCGATAACCTCACGTGCGCAGCGTCTCCTTGAGCCACCTTTAAAGGGCGGCATTTCTCGATGGTTTGCGTCCCATCGTCCATGTTTCCGGAGCTGTATAGAACATAAGCATCGACAGACGTTTCCATAATCCGTACCAAATATGTTTCAAGTGGCCCACATGCAGAGGGAATTTGGGTTAGGTGTGACAATACCCCTTTGAAGGCTTTAGCATATTACTCCGCCAAGTTTGGGATCAGTGTTTTAGTCCACTCAGCCCGTGTATCTGAATGCCTGAGTGAACAAAGACGCTGACTAAGACACCACTGGCCGATTCAGTCTTTGCTTTATTTGTTTAGCACAGACCTTCTTGTTGAGATAAGATCCCATTCCTCACATAGTGCTCTTTCCGCTCATTCGTGCTAGTAGATTCCATTGTGTCATTCTTGTAATTCCGCATGGCAATTGTTCTTATGACCGATAACCGAATGTATCTGTCCTGCGTCGCCGGGGCTCTGTCCACCAACACAAGGCAGGCGTGACGCGTCGCGAATTCCGCTATGGCTGCAAACAGCCTTCTAATGTGTTCCTCAGTTTCTCCAACTTTTGGCGGAATTTTTTCGAGATCAGAGCCCGATGGACCTTTGCAGGCGCGTATTTTATACGCGTCGAGCCAATGAGTTCTGTATACATTACGACCTCCAGATAGAACCCCTTTTTCCCGTATTTTCATAGACTAGATTTTACAATGTCGGCCCAAGAAGCGGACTCTGCGGGACCCAGCAGTAACTCACTAATGCTGTCCTTCCCCACATAGTTACCTACTTCTTAGATATGACGATAGTATTCGGCGGCCTTAATGCTCCAGCGCCTCCGTTATGATTTTCCGGTTTATTATGTTCAGAGCGTTCTTGACGTCTAGTAATATAATAAGGATAAAGTCTTGGGCATTTTTGCCCATGTTGCGTAGCTGAGCACTCTTCTTATAGTTCCGCCCGTGGATATTCCACTTCTCAAACCGCACTAGAGTTTGACAGCTGCTTCTGTTGTTACGCAAGAACTCCGGCCATAGTTCTTTCTATTCGCGTGGCGAAACGTTACCTTGAACTCGGATTCCAGATCAAAGGAAGCAGCACTTTTGGTATGCAATATTTATTCTTAGCCTAGGTTAGGAAGGCACCGAAACAGCTCAAGCTACCTGTGGCAAGTGTTCTATAGGTGGCAGTACTATTAGGAATGACGCTTTCGATGTAAAGAGTGTATGTACTGTCGTCGATTTTTCGAGTTCAATAAGAATCGACGTAAGCCACTCTTAAAGGGAACAAATGTAATGAATGGCATAGAGTCCCCACCAAAAGCGGAACAAACGTCCTACGTTACTTTCGCAGATCGCTGCCATCGGCAAGAAGTCGGTATCGCAAACCAATTTTTCTTTTACCAGACATATCCATTTTTGAAGGCCCAAGTCCAAGTACAATTTTAAAAAGAAGAAGTAACTATTCTATGTCTCATTCTTATTTTAACGCTGTATGCAAACTTTAATTATCAACAAATGAAAACTTAGAAAAGGAAAACCATAAGCAAGGCTGCAGCGGAACCTAGTTGATAGCCAAATAGTCAAAATGGGTATCCATCTGTATTTCTCATCGTTTATTAGTTATAGTCCAAATTTTGAGCGAGCATACTTCAAAAACTCGAAACCGACAGACATTTTCCAATAACTCAAATACTATCGATTTTAGAAGACAACGAACGAGACCTCTTTTACTTAGCATTAAGGTTTCTGTCGGACGGAATACGTACTAAATTGAGGAAAAATAAGGAAAAAAAACTAGTGTCTATGTTTCGAAAACGGTACCATTCGTTAATGTCTCTCGGACGTTGTATTGCATTGTGCAATTTCGGCACTGATAAATTTGTGGCAAACTCTTATATACCATTAAGCATTTGTAACATTTGCTCATCATGAAATTTTTCAATAGATCTTATTGAAAATTACGTCTGAAATTTTTAACCAGAAAGTGAACCACTTGAACAATTAATTTAGGTCAAGAAAATGTTGATATCTGTTAGTCTCCTCCTATAGTTAAGTGTCGGAGAAGGTACCGTATGCAGAAGCTGTGCGGTAAATACCCATCGTCAAACAGTAAGCATTGAAAAACGAAACTACTCAATTAGGCTGAGAAATGTCACCATCAACGAACATTATGTAGTAGAACCCTTTGGTTAAACCTAATTGAGATATAGACCGGGCCGGATTTCAGGGATCTTTGCTGTGAAAATCAGAGAACATTTTAAGCTAATACCCTATAACAACACATATGATTCCGTCATCAGAAGCGCCTCGATTTTTAACCCCCTCTTTTTTTTCACACTTTTTGTCGTAAATTCCATCGTTTTTAAAGACAGAGATACAAGACATTTTGCCATCAATTTGGCACCTTTTCTCCCTTTCCATCATATCTTTTTCTATTTTTTTAAATTGATTAAACTATTATTAATTTCCATTTTTCTCTTTCTCCACCCTACGTGGCTCATTAGCGTTTACCATTTGTTTTTCCTTTTCCATTTAGCCTGCGTGAATTAGCGCATAAGTGACATCCTTGCCAACTAGTCGGACAACTCGAGTTTGAATCCGAGGGCAACGAAAAATCTTTGATGATAGGGCGATCATTCCCCAGCTAAACGAATAAATCGAATAAAATTTTTTGCAAAATCATTTTTCTCATAAATTTCAGCTTTTAATGCTCCAAGCAATATCAGCTCTTTTTGTTTCCATTGAGAAAAGAGCTTTGTATACTAGGTTCTATCATTCTCACAAACTTTTGCTTATTGGACACCAACATCAGTTTGCTTTTTCTATCCTTACGTGTATACGATGGGGTCAACTTGTGTTGACTTTGTTGCCTGTTTTTCTGCTCAAGAACAAACTGTCTTATGTCATTTTCTAGCACACGTTCTGGATTTCGGAACGACCACGATCAATACTGATTGCAACCCGAAGACCTGTTAAGGACAAAGTGGTAGAACCGAAACCTGCTATTTTACAGAGTACCTCAAAGGCAATACTATTTCAAACGTCCGATCCTAGCGCCTGTGCATGCTCGCGTGACGCCAACACCGACTCAGAGACAGCTTGTCATGTTGTACCCGTTAAAACGTTAGGTTGCAGTAGGCAGATGCACGGGTATCTGACGCGGTCGATACTCCTATCCTTGCGGTATTCACTGGCGAACGTCGCCTAGCCTACATAAACCAGATTGATGTTGACTTATCTAAAGGTAAGAAAAAGTAATCTACCGTATATAGCCGTCCATCTGTATACCCATGAAAAAATATAACGGCGATATTTCCCTCGTAATTTAATTTGAACGTTTTTGCTTTGATTGGCCAAGGTTTAGCAATAATTGGCCTGAAGCGTAGTTACCACACGATTCTCACAATAATTGTATTTGTATGGCCTTCACTCAATTGTTAACCGAAAACAAAAAAAAAACACTGGATAATGCTATTATTATCTGCCTTATTTATAGGCTGATAGAGGCTTCCACGAGAGTTTTTGAAAAATCTCAAAGCTAGACCGAGTTCCCGACATTTTGCGCATATCGATAAGCTTTTCTGCCATCGTTTTGTTCGCGTGACAAATGTTAACCCTGACATCGGCTTCAAAAACGGGCATATCAAATTTGCGATACCGACATTAAATTAAGGTCAATCACAGAGACAAAAAAGGTAGCGTGCTGTGTGCATCTCATTCACTGTGTTGCCATAGCAACGATGCACAGGTATGCGGCTTTTAACTAACAACCTTGAAAAAAACATCGTTACAAGAGAACCAAAGATAGGCAGACATTGTTTCTGAATAAAAAAAAAGTAGCGCGAATTGGACAAAGGCCAATGGGTACTGCTTATATAGTTAGCATGCTATTTCATAGGTACGTTAGAGAAATCCCGGGTAGGTTCAACAAGATCAGCCCTAGAGAGGTCTTCTAGGGGCAGGCTTTTCACTTTATACCGAACAGTTCATTCGTTGTTCGAAGACTCGCCTACATAGGGAACATTGCTGACAGTACCAAAGGTAAGGAGCTCAAGTAACATAACTTGTAAAGTTTCATGTGTGAGCGAAATAAATAAATGTTTCAATCATTACATTCCGTTCGTCTATTAAGTATCGTTTCAGACGGCTGGCCATCAGCACGAAGCAACGCTACGTATCTGTGATTAGTTTCGAACCTGGGCTACATCACAAGCCTGTATATTTAGTAGGCGAGAGCTAGAGTCGAGAGTAGTGCATTACTTCAATAAAAGATGCCGTTTTTAAATCAGGTAAGCACTTGGGACTAGTAATATCAGCTACTGGATCTCCGTCGTATATATGTATTCTGGGTTGCTGTCATGGATTTCTAAACTGGTTGATGAAAATTTACTCAAGAGCTCGTTGTTTTTTTTTTTTTTCGAGTAAAAACATGTTTTTGCGATTTTTCACTTGTTGGTTAATTCTTTAAGCGCTAAATAAGCACACTATAATTATCTCGATGATATTTCGTGAGAAACTAAGAATTTGGCGCATGTTTTGAGTTACCGGGGGCTCCGTGCAATCCAGTACAAATCATTTACGCATAGCCATCGTACCGTTTCAAATATAAAAAAGCAAAAAGGAAACAAACAGTTGAAAGAGATTAAATATATACACATCGAATAAGGGAAGAGTTATTAAATGTATTCACAGAGAAGTCCTGCGATAAGCACACGTCAAGGTCGCCATGATAGATGACCGGCTTAAAACAAAAGTCAAACAGACTGTACATTGTCTCGCCGGCGAAAACCGGCAAAAAGGCAACTCACAAAGGGAGATCATACGCGTAATTGAGCTCGACATAGGACAAGAGAACAGGACATTCTGAAACGGTGTTTTCTATTTGATACTGTTGACATACGGCTGCCCGTCGGAAAAACAATATGCACATCGGTCCTTCGAGAAATTATCCGAAAGCACATGTGCTTGTCCAAAAGTTTTCCTGTGAATTCATACTGCACAAAAACTCTCACGCTGTATTATACGTAAGCTCAACGTCGTTGCCGATCATAATGCAACCACTATGAGAACTTGTGGCGTAAAATAGAAGACTGAGTTAGTGATAGTCGCCAATGTCGACCAAAGAAGACTAAGTGGGAATATAGGACTGCTTAATGAATTGGTAAAAAAAAAAAGCGGAAAATGATACAACATGATGGGAAATTGTTTCTAGCAAAATCCGGCGTTGCCGTGGAGACCGCAGCGCCTAGTAGACGTAAATTCGACAAGAATTTCACCTTCAAGCCGCCGAAAGGAATGAACCCTTGTAAAGAACAGATAAACAGCTTGTTTCTATAAAGAGCTGTGCAAAATGTTACCTGCAACCGGCAGATTCGAACCGCACTGCAGGAAGTACTACTAAAGCAATCTGGTCACGGACGCCGTTTAGTAAAATCATTTGGAGCAGCAAGATTCAGTTCTTTATATTATTAGAGAGTTAACCAGCATTCTATAGTTCGCGATCGCAGCAGAACAATACCACGAGAGAAGAAGGATAACTTCGTATTGACTTTTTTTTTCTTTCTCCGAGACCGCCTACGATCTGTCAACGTCAAGAGCATTTTGTTTTTCTTGCGAATGGAAGGAAAACGTTAGCTATGAATAGGAAAAATTGTTATGAAAAAAAAAAACAATGAATTAAAGTCAGTTGTAGTTTATTGAAGCTCCGAACGAACGGTTACTAATTAAGTAAATAAGTTTAGTTTGGAAGGAAGGCCGTGTCGACGACGGTACGAGTTAATTCGTAATTGCTGGTATAAAAGTGTTGTTCTAGAGGAACATGTATGTAAACGGACCTATTTAGATGTAGGGTTGCATGGGTTTGGAGTAACGCAAACACTTTATTGAATAGCTGCAAAGCTAGACGTTTTCACTAGAGCATTACCTTACGATGAGTGCACACAAGAGCGAACCGTCAACGTAGTAGTATATTAACACTGTATAATCTTTATTGCGTATGGCTCAAAAGAAAATCGGTAAATCTTTCGCCGACTAATAGTTCGCGCTGGAAACACTATTCAGTACCCTTCGTTTGTCATTGTATATATACCCAATTTTGTAGTACAATATATTTTTAAAGTTTTGTTTCGTCATCTATACACTTTGACATAAGCAGATCAAAAACAGATTCATAAGATAAGATTTGGTTTGCATACACTTTGTCCGTCTAATTGGCAATGGAGAATTTAAGGCAAATGGGGAAATTTTGAAAATATCAGACTTTAGGTGGCAGTGAATTACTTTTCGTCGTATTTATCCTTGTCCATAGGTAATTCTGCGTTTCGTATTTTTTCTGCGTATGGCCTTCCCCAGACGTCTCTCCTGCATCACTGTTAATCAGGTTGTAGTAGCTTGTTTAAGTGTCTGGGCAAACTGCCACACATCGCGAAATGAGTTATATAGCGGGCACGGTGTCACGCGGAGCACTCCCGGTTTTCGAACGTCGCACTGCTTGAGAAGATGATTCGAGTTAACAAAAACCGTGCAAATTTTATATAGGTTATATCCTTACATACAATTCGCTAATGGAACACTTTTTCATAGGTAGCCATCTAATATGCTACTACTATTGCTACTTAATAAGCGTTTACCGCAAAGGTATAGTTATTGAATAAGCTGTAATATTACTCACAATGACACCTCGTTCTTTAAGTTTCTTGTGTAGATCAACCGGATTCGAGTTGAGCTTGACACAAATCATTGAACCTCTTCGACGTAGACATCGAGGAGTGATTTGTTGTAGAGGTATTCCTGACGAAATCATTGAGTCTAAAAGGTATTCAAGATAGCCTAAACGCAAAATCGAACAAGGGTTAAGGTTGATTTATGAAATTCTATTGAGCTACCGAAAAGTATTGATCATTTTCCCACTGAAGCCGGGTGACATGAGTCGTACCAGATCGACATCGATGGCGTTTGAGGGTCATGATCTGGAAGTAATAAACGTGCTAAGATCCCTTCGCTTAAACTTAAGATAGAGTACCTTAAAGATTGCTGCAAAAATTAATTGTGCCTAGACGACACAAAACTTGTAAAAGTTACTACAGTGTCGTCCATACAAATTGGTGAACGTACGTTAGTGAGAAAAAACTGCCTACTTGTGATTCCATCGCTTCCGTTCTACGAATTTCGATACGAAAGATGCTCCCTGTATTACGAAATTAATTCGTGAAATTACCACGACAGTTGAGCGAATTAAACATCCAGCAGTGAAGTTCGATATTTGAGTACACAGGAACTGAGTGATTTGCTCGATCGTAAATTTATCTGTGAAGCTTCATAAAAACGGAACTAGAGTGATTGATCGCCGATTGATTTGAAAATTGATCACATACGACAATAATGTACAATTGGGAAAATCTATAAGCCACAATCGGACCAGCGCCGCGCAAGATGCTATGTATTTGATGGGACTTAAAAAATATCGTGCATTTGAATTGCTATCGCTAGGCAAAACGATTAATTCAGACCTCTAATATCAGACAGTAACAACAAGCCATTGAAGAACAGCATTAGCGAGTAGGAATTTATCTAACCGGTAAAAATTGAGAGAGCCCACATGAATTTTCTTTTACATTTGTCACATAGTTGATGTTTTATACTCTCGTCTGTTTCAGTTTCTATAGGAATCCCTTAGTGGTGTATCATTTGTCTCCTATAAATCGCAAAAGTTCTATAGTAATAAGATTATGGTGTCACCAGAGAAATGGCACGAAATCATCGATCAAAACAGCGCGTATTGAATTTAATTGTTTTTTTTTTTTTATAAGACATAAAAAGTACCTGCTTTAATTTGGTTTTGATTGAAACGGTCAATACTTTTTTGAGATTTGAATATATATATATACAGAATGTCTGGTCTAAATTCAGATGTTTTTCGGCTGTTTGTTTCTAAGGCTGTGTCCAAAACAAACGTATATATGTTAATAAATTTTCTTGCGTCTATAAGAAGTATTAACGGTTGTGTTCGTCCAATGTAACGACCGTCTATTGCGACCGCAGCTTCGTAGATTTAACCATTAACTAATTAGTTAAAAAATATTTTTTTCTTTAATCCGCAAAAAATAGTAAATGCGTGTCAAACGATACTGGCGAGCAATGCTCGCTGAAGTATTGCTCAGACATTTCGCCTACAGAAAAATTCAGCGGGATCAAGCTTTTGGCTAATCATGAAGTCGGAGGTCCAAAAGGTTCGTCCAAAAGGTCTGAAAATGGCTCACAGCTTCAAAACGTGTAAAAAGTCTCAAGACGTCCCCATTGACAATTGGCACTAGTTTCTCTAAAACGGCCGTTTGTCTCATTGATTTATCAAAATAAAGGCTGGTTGTGTCAAAAATAGCTATTCGAATCTAAACTTAGTTAAGTAACTTCTAGTTTGCCTGACTGCATGAAGATTGTCAATAGCGTAAACCGTTGATCTTGGTCAAAAAGGTCGGTGAAGGCTTGTCCAGTGAGGAAAAACTAGATAATAATAGATCATTTTCACACGAACTCCGACGCACTGTTGTTTATTGTGACAAATCTGGCGTTTGATTCTGGTTTTCGCCTACTATACGAACAGGGGGACAGTTAGCCCGCCAAAGTTTTCCCCATTTAGAAGAAAATCCTTAAATATATAGACAAGACGACTCACTTCCTATGTTCTACGTTAATTAACTTTACGATATGTAAATTAAGTTTGAAAATGAACGAGTCATTATTGATACGATATGCTTTATATCGATTTAATTATGCCTTGACGGAGAAGGTAAGTCAATTTCGCAGAGCACATCATCGGCCGCTAGGAACAAACACATCTAATATTGCTAGATATTATTACCTGTAATGATGCGTTGTTTTCGGTAACGAGCTTCATCGCCGGCGCGGCTAAATAGATCCAGTGAAGCCATGATGGGGGCTATCAAAAGAGGCGGACAGTTCGACAGCTTATAACTGTCAGCCGAGTACGGAACGGGCTCAAATTCTGCGGAATTATTCATTCCAATCGAGGATGTTACAATAAATGACCAATTCATAAGAGAATATATTGATGATACGTTTATGAGCCGTCTATACATTTTCCTAAATACAGAATGAGTATGTGTTTTTTTGTTTACTCACAAATTTTCAACGACGGTCACCTCCGTTGATTGGCCATGCATTTTCTTGTCTTTTCTTTTTTTCCAGAGAATAATCAATTGTTTTCTATAATACTTAGTCATTTTTTTTATGATTGTGCGTTCGCTGCTGCGTATAAAACGTACCTCTCCTCATTTCGAATTTGGTTCTGGTGTCATTTCCCCACCAGCCGTGCACCGCGGGGAGCTCCGAGAGATGACGCTCATGAACAAATGCCATGCCAGTACCGCCTGCACCGCTGTTCAGATACTGATTGTATCAAAAGAGTAAGTTAACATCTATGATTCGACGAGTTCCACAATCAGATATTGTGACTATTTACAGAATACTCAATGCTTTTTATCGCTGAAGTCAAATGAAGCCTTCTTGAATGCAATGAGTTTCTGAATCAACATTAAACTTAAACTTGAAAGTTTAAATGGCAAAGAGTGTTTTATTCTGGCGGGAATAGAGTCTACAGCGAAATCGCCTGAAGCATGAGTCTGCCGTAGCCTAAATATTCATATATCGAAGTTTATCATATCAGACACCTTAAAACTAAGATGATTCTTCTTTTGCAGCGGTAAATTTCTAAGTCTCTCAATATAATGTATGAAATTTTGCTCGAATAAAACAACCAAAAACTGTTTTTAATGCCTAACAACACAAACTATTGCATCAGTTAAAATCGCAAGTCTACACAAGTGATCGAGGTTGATTGTACGATACATAATATAGATGAATATACGTTGCAATATTTTCTTTTTTCAGAGCGTTATTCAAATGCAGTTATGGATATACGCAGAGAATTTAGCACCTTGTATGAACACCATACAGCGCAATCAACGTCCCAATTATGCAGCTCTACAGGGATGTTTCCAATAGCGTGAGCCGCGTCACATAGAACCGTGCAACCCTGGAAAATTTCCACAAGTATTTTTCCTATTATTGAGTGGGGCACGTTTGCTGAAGCCGTTCTGATCTGCGGCCAGCTTAAAGCTAACCACACAAGCGATGATCCGCACCTCGGATACTTGAACTATAGGTTGCTAACAAGCTTGTCATATGTTCAGGGAGTATTCTTCATTCGATATTAATTTTTCTTCGTAGAAGAAGAAATCGCAGAATAAAGGCTAAGAGCATATCGATTCAGGACCCGCTTTTTACTTCTATTTGATAGTAGTTTAATATTTGCTCACTGGTGTGACTTTTAGTACAACTTACCATTTTTTTTGGTTGCTGTAAATTAACAGGTAGTATTTTCTTTCCCTTACCTGTCCGTGAGCAGCTTTCGTTAGAGTCCCTATATCGTACACTTGACCAGTGTAGTACTGAACAACCGGCAAAACAAGCAATGCTATGCATTGACCTTCTCTCCGAATTACCTGTTAGGCGCAGCAAGTAGGTGATCCGACAACGATACCTTTTTAGGAACAAGCCAACAAATTGAGCGAAACACCTAGTGGACCTAGACATGTTTACGTTTAGGTGTAGGCGCTCCGAAGATCTTGCTCTTGATTGTTGTCAAGCGATACGTCTTAGCAGAGCCTTGCGATTATGGGGTCAGCTAATTTCAGCTGTCTGTTCTCAGTTACTACGATGCGTATAATGTATGGAAAAAAAACCCCAGCTTTTGCAGGAAATACCTTGTCTTTAATTCAGGCACCGATTCAGTGCGGTGCCGTTAGCTTGCTGGGAGCATTTATATACCTCGAGTACGTCGTCCTCTTCGATAATTTCGGTTCCGGGTCGTGGCTTTAGTTCAATTAGTCCATCCACTACAGTATAACCGTAATACTGTAACTGAGATTTGACCGCATACTGGAAATGTGAGAACAGGAAATAATCATCTGTTTCTATTACTATGCTTTTCCTCTGTTTGTCTGTACCAAATTAGCGCAGAGAAAAATGCTGCGTAAAAGTTACGTTACATGTAATATAAACTCAAGCTATGTTGCTATTTAGAGCTAACCGCCTGGTCTACAATACTTAGGCAAATTTCGACTAAGTCCATAAGTTCATTTCACCACAGATATGAACTTTTCGAAATAGTTCCTCCCATTGGCCAAAGGACGTTCATTTACAATAAATTTGGACGGATATGAAGTTTGTTCGACCCGCCTACGACGCTCAGTAACAGAATAGCAATTTTCTATCTATTTACTTAGAGTTCAGAACCCGGTCTAGCAAGTGTTCGAGCTGGAATCTAGTAAGAAACGCATAACCTTTGTTCTATGTCTTCGAAGAGGCTACGGGGCGAATTGTGTGTCGATGCTGGCATACGCTTTCTAAGCATCACATTTAAATGTTGACGTTTATATAGCTAACGAACGTACGTTGCCCTTTGGATAGCACAAAATCGCTTTTCAACTATCTTAAGCTTTCTTACCATTTTTTTTTAGTAAAACATGTTTGATGTACGTACACAGTTAACATGAAATCAGACTGCCCATACAGGCGCTAGCCATTACGCAAAGACGTGTGTTTATTGTGTGTGGTACAACTACCAGATGTTTTTAGCTTGATTAAGGCAGCTAGGGAAAAACCTGGAGTACGAATGACCACCTAACGTATGCTCAAGTTCAGTAGGCAAATACGATACCACTGTATATAGAGTAACGATAACTGCCACCACGAAACAAATCTATAGGGTTAAGGGAATTTTCCTTGAACTGTCTAGTTAGCCGATTTACTGCGATGTACGAAAAGGCATTGGTTCGGTTTTTTTCTGATGTGTCTCTTCAATACAAGGTGCTTATAATATGTAGCACATATGTTACGGTTTCAGCTAGTTACATCACGTATTTTAGTTTGATCTCGCCTTACGATATGCTTGAAAGTTTAAAAAGCTTGCTCTTGGGTGGAACAAGGCAAACTCAAGGTGAACAAAGAGCTGCATCGATCAAGAACTTCGATCTCTGTGTGATTCGATGAGCGTTTTAGCGATAGTCAACGATAGCGATAGAAAACAGTCAGCAGCGATAAGAGAAGTCAGAGTAATCTTCATGCTAAACATCATACGCATATGAAGAACTGTAAAAGACTAAATATACGACAGTAAGAGTGAGTTTCAATATGTTGGGCCTGTTGAGTGTTGTGTGTAGTACGATTTCGGGGGCAATTCGTAGTATAGTTGACTCGACAAGCATACTGAGACAAGCGGCCCTCTATAATAGACAAAAACACCGGTATATAATAAATTGAATAACTAGCTATTATTTTCAAAGTTATTACAGTATCCCATGTTACCTTAATAAGTCATAACGAATAACCGTCATTTGACTACTCCATTTAACAGACAGACAAGTTTGAGGCTGCCAATGAGTAGGTTTAGTCAAAAAAAAATATAGCGAGGTATCTTATAATATATTATTTTGTTTTTGTTTTTTTCTTTTTCACTAAGCAACGTGAAACATAATGCATTAGATATTAACATCCACAGACAGACCATAAATATGCGATATATAAGGAATTTACTTATTAAAACCTTTTACGTCTAGTAACGCTACATGCAAGTTCTACCCATACTGGGTTATACTTACACAAAAAATAAATTTATCTACATTTGATGATCATGTTTTGTGATTATTTCTACTAAATATAATGAACTAATGACAAATACGGATTAGTAACCCAAGCTAGTATATATATTATGTCGTCTTCAAATGCTAAGACTCGACTTACCAAGTCAGAAGGAAATGCCGCTTCCTCAATCACAATTTTGTACCGTTCGCCTGATGGTTTGTAAAACTTTAACTGAAATATCACACCATTTTGTTTACTGTTAACATATCATCCCATAGTTTATCCATAAAGTTTATTTTTCTAGAAATAGATTTGTTACTTCTACCGATACGATACCTCTAGATTACTACTACGTTACCAGGACATCAATTATATGCTCCCTTAAGAAAGACGGTTATACAATTCAGTTCAAGGGTTCCTTTTTCTATATCGCGAAGTGTTAACAATGACCTTAAGTGTTTAATAACCCGAACGAATCTGCCTGATCTCTGCTGTATTTACCATAAGTAAATGAAGGTTGACCGTGAGACCGTTCATGATCACCAGTTCATAAGGAAAGCACCCTGTAAATAAATGCATTTCACATAAACAAAAAAAAAAAAAAGTAAAATTAAATTCGTGTCCAAATTATCTTCCTACATCGTTTTTGTAAACGTTATAGAAAAACTGTCGCGCAGTATTTTTCCATTTCTTTTATAGAGTAACAAATATACTATTTTCGAATACCGAACTTTTTGTTCTGCTATGGGATTGACAGAGTTTGTTATGCGTTACCTCTGTTATCATAGGGACTTCATAAAATGCAAGGTACAAATTTTCTAGCGTTCTTATTGTAGCTAACCGTATCACTTGTCTGTTTTCTTAATATATAAATTAGTTACACTCTGTTATTAGTGTGTTGGGATTCGGCGCACGTTTTCTTCAAATATTCACGAAGAACAGGCGGGCCATTCTTCGGAACGGCAACGCGTTCTCCACGAAAGTGGCTATCCAGCTCTCTTCTAATATTGTTAGAAGTAGTTCTTGTTCGGCCCATAAAGTAGGAGAAAATATTTATGTCCTTATTTTATGTGACGATTAAGCGTAACGTCTTTTGACTAAATTACTGGTTCATCCAGCCTTGGTCTACCATATATGTGCTGACCGCACGAATAGATATTCAATATACCCTAGAAAATCAAATAGAATCTTAGGTATTATAACGCTGCCCTCTCGAAGTAATGATGTCAATATAGAAAAACAACAAAGAAATAGGCTTACTTAAGTATATGAGAGCACAAATAACGAATGCAGTTAAAATTGTTTGGTGAGCTGATATTAAAATCCTGAATTACGTAAAAACGATGACTTCAAACGAATCGTAACATATTCACTCACTGCACGATAACCTCAAATACCGTAAGCGAAAAACAACCAAATACTATAGGTTGTATTTTTTTAGTACATATATATATTGTTCTCTTTCATACCCCTAAAGATTTGCCGTGCTCGACCTATAGAGCAGGACAGCTTTGCTATTACGGGTAAAACATAAGCGCAAAGGATGTACTTCACTCCATTAGGACAATCAGTGTCTCTATCCTCCTTGGAACTCTGAGAGAACCAGACTCAGAGTCCCAAGCCGGCGAATCTTACTTAATTGACGAAAACAAATCGACTGAGAGTGGCCACTGACATGTATGTGGGCAGACATGAGCACTACTACGAACGTCACTATCATAGCCAGACCAGCAGCGGTACAGACGTTAAGGAATGGAAAGCCGTCGCGAACAGTACAGAGCAGAAGTAGGCGCTGTAGTACAATAACTACATCGATGACCGGGCTGGCTGCCTGTACAACCGCAGTGCTAGCCACACGAACATACGTTAGCTGTAGCTGCGGACCTGGCTACGAAGGGGGAATAAAGAGGAAAAGAACTAGATGTCTGTCTGTCTGTCTGTCTGTCTATCTTTGTTTATTTGTTCCCACTGACGTTTGCCAAAGGCGAAGAACCGAGACGAGGTCGAGCAAACGAGGTGAGTATACGCTTGGAGTCAAAACTACGGCTCGAACGATAGTCCAAGACGGGCAGGCTTTGTCCTGTAGGAGGGTTGAACAAAGCAACGAAGACACGAACGGGATGGAGGCAAGCCGGCGCACCGTGAATCATGTTCTGACTCCTACTTTAACGGACTAATGGCTCGTGGAGGCTCGTATTATGGACGTGAGGACGGGAAGAGTAAACGGACTTGCGAATTCCAACGGTGGCTATGAAGGGATTCCACACTGACAACAAGGATAAAGACAACAACAGCAGCAGCAGCAGCGACAGGCGCAGCACCAGCAACAAACGATAGCAACGCCAATCGGATGAGAAATGAGGCATGGAGCAACTGTGGGAGTAACGGGAAATAATGGGAGGTGCTCACCAAAAGGACGAAAGAACAAGTCACAGCAAATGAACGCTTCTGGCATACGTAAGAGAGCAGAAAAGAGAAAGGAAGGGCCGAGACGGACATCGTGGGATCTCAGGAAACGAGGGTTGACCTGAGGAGGACTTTACGATATTATGCTAACAGACTCTTTGGAGAAGACGTCAGTCTAGTTTGCTAGCAAGAAAATAAACTGAAAGGCCATAAACCTAGCAGTTGCTGTTCTTGACATATAACTGCATCAGGACGCATTCTGACTGCAACTACATATGCTTAACTTTTGTTGCTGTCACTGCCTTTAGTCCGATTGGTACCTTTAGGCGGGCCCTTGTCGTTTCGGTTCCTTTTTCACTAGTTTCGTCATCTGCTCGTTGACTTTTCGGCTGTGCTTTTAACCACCAGAATGAAACGCTCTCGTTTACCCTCCGAGTCATCGTCAGCCGACAGTAACTCTGTTTATTATTCCTTCACCCTCCTTTGTCCGCTTTGAATCTGTTCCACGGGTTCCCTTTTTCGTGCGCCCTGCTCATATGCTTATGTATACAAACACTGTTACGATCTGAACGTCATCTACCAGAGTGTTCACTTTTTATACGTTAACTGCGTCCGTGAAGAAGCGAGTATGCAACAGTGAAATAGTGAAGATTTCGCTAAAGCGCTACGAAAAGCGTGAACGTATTTTTGGCGGGTGTTGCTGGCGCTTTTCGGGGGCGTACGGCAAGCGGCTACAAGCTGCCAGTGACCCCTTCGTGGCGGGTCGACAGACATCACGGAGACATGCAGTAGATTTTTCTCCTGTCTCTTTTTCTACCCAGTTGAACCCCTTTTATAGAAACAGATTTACGCGCTTGGACGTGGCCTCTAAATTTAACATAAATGCCGCCTTGAGATTTATTCCTCTTATCCGCTGTAGGGGCTACGATCGTGATGCGAATCGTCGTACTTCTTTAATGCACTAAGCTCTATCTCCGGTGACTAAATTGCATCCGAGACTGAGCCAGGTTTTTTATAGTCAGACGTGGATGGATATGGGAGAAGAGAGCACTGCAATATTTATTGTGGGGTTTGTGGGGACACTGAGGAAAGGGGTCAATAGAAGATACAATAGCCACAACGCTGAAGTAAATGAATATAGTGACCATTGATCGTTTGCATAGTTCGCGATGTACACAGCGGCGCTACTGCTGTGCTGAGATATATAACATCGGTGGAAGCAACAAAAGGGGCAATGAGAGATAATGGTCATGGTGCATATGAGTACTATGTTTGAGTATGTCTCTCTAATTGATTGTAATGCATCATTACTTGCATAGACGCCGCGATACAGAATAGGCGCATGTACGTACGTGCAAAATATTTTCGTCCTGCTAAAATACTCTGCAGGCTGCATTTGTCCATATACGTGCATACGTTGCGAACGAACAAATGATGGCTAATAACTCTATGTATGGGCAGGCGAAACACAACTGGTAAGCGCTTTACCCAGTAAATATACTCAATATTAAAAACTAAAGTAAAATATAAAAAAATATAGCAAAAATATTAAATGCAAACGCGTCAGGGGTTTGCCTATGATAGATGTGTTAACAAATGTTCGCCAGTAGGCCTCAGTATTGCGGGCTACGGCAGCAGTGGTACCAATTAAGGAACCTCTGCGCTTTCCTTTGGGTTCTGAACGTCTTACATTTATCCGTATTAGTGGCTATTTGAACCGAAAGTATTTTTCCAGAACCCGGTACCATGGACTAGATTATTAGCACGGCTATTGTAATTCGGTAAACCCACGGAGACCACCGGCAGAAAAGGAACGAGGCCTAATTGAAAACCTAAAAATAACTTTCTATTAGCAATCACATTTATACACCCTTAGACACAAGGATCCTGCTTAGAACAGCGAACGTGTTAGTTTTTTTTAAGAATAGATGATGAGTTAACATTTCAACACTTTGCGTTGTTAATTGGCTATTGGTTACCAGATAATATGTTATATCAGGCATAGGTTAACTTCTGACATGGATAAAACGAACGAAGTCTTTTGTTTCCGAAGGTCTCTATGTGGAACTCTATGTAACCAATCGTGTGTGATATCTTCTTTATGTGACACGCGAAAGTAGACTGAATTTTAATCATACGTGGCGACAGCTTAAACACAGATGGAGGAACAGCAGTAGATTCGAAACACGGTTCGTGTCACACATACAGAAGATATATTGACGCGCACGTCCGCGTGTTATTCTGTCAGGACAAACATACGTCAAGTCTGCCGCTGGCGCATTGCTGACAGAACAGTCGAAAATATCTAGAGCCCTAACATAGCCAAACTGCGCAGCACCAGACAAGCTAAGTACACCATCTACGTACAGTCAGCACCGGTTGGCCTGCACCGCAAGAAGATTTCATCGAGCTGAAATATAGCAGCAGTGATACCGTGCAAGCAGAAGCAAGTAGTAGTAACAGAAGTAGCGCCAGCAGTTTTAGACATGCTCAAAAGCAGACCGCGTGCACCTGCTGGCGGCCTGACATTTATCGAGCTAGACCAGAGGCTAAAAGAGTCAGACATCGTGGTGTGGCCGGTGGTGCAGTTGTATCTGAAAAGCTTTGTAGTTCATTCTATTCTCGTGGACGGCAGCTGGCCACAGCTGCCTACACACTAGTTTTCCAGCCTGCTAGGAATGCCCAGTGAGCAGCTGCGTGCAACTGCTATCGGGTCGATCAAATTTTCTGATCAGCACGTCTGTAATAGCACGTGCTGGTCAGAAAATTTGCGTGCGCTATCCGGTTGTAGCGTTCAGCCAGTATATGATACGGGCGTGTTCTCGAAGACAATGAAAGCAAAAACGAAGCAACTGAGAAGTTGTCTAGAAAGCTTGGCCGGTAGCTCATCGCCACAAGAACATCGGCCAGCGACAAGCAAATTTTGTAATGCCTAGTGGGTGGGTGGATGGAGCAAACAAACGAAAAGTCCCTGTTATTCTACTGACGTTGAACGACAGAAAAGACTTCCTATCTGGTCAAACAAATTATCAGTAGCATATGAACAAAATTTTTCCTCATTTAGTAAACAGAACCGTCGCATCTATTTTAGTTACTTTGTGAAGCATAACTTGCAGCAGGGTCTTACCAATTAAAGGTGGCAACTTCTAAAAGAGAATCTGTTGTTTTAAGACCAATGGTAAGTGTAAAAGTTAATGCCACTTAACCTCTAAGTTTTTCAATGTTACATAAAAAAAAATTACTGTTGTGTTTCTGTACATGTTAGGAAACTATTAAATAAGCCAGTAGACAACTTTGGGTGATGTCAAACGAGCGCAATAGCAAGAGATAAAAGAGAAGTAAGGTAGAATATAAACTATACACACCTGCGAGTCGAGCCATTTCATCCTTTGGGTAAAGTTCACAGAATGCTGCAGGCAGATAACCATTGTAGTGATGTTCCGCTCCCCTAACAGACAATTTTATAAACATATAGGGTTAGAGATTCAAAATCTGACAGGCTTTGGCAAGCTGCTTGTTGTAGGGGGATGTCGCAGGTATTTTTGCAATTCATACGGAGATTCGTTACTATCTACTGTTTTTATGCAAGCCAAAACCCCATCGAGGTGCTAGAAAAAAACTTCCTACTATACCCGAAATCGACGGTTTCCATTATTGCCACTTTTCATAGGCCCTTTGAAAAACCCCCTACAGGGATACTCGATAGAGGCTAGAGAAAAAAAGGCTCAAAAATATTTTACATAAATTGACGCTTGTTTTCAAGAGCGAAATATCAACTGCAGGTTGGATCGTCCGCTTAAACTCCATCGATTAATCTTTTTGAGACTTTCTGACCTGTTTCGTACGCTTTGTGTTTATTGTTCGTTAAAAGCCCTGGCACTTTTATGAGTTAGTTTGGTATCATCCTAAAATTTAATTCCGTTTGAATTTTTTATACCTAGCGTACGTGCATGACGCTTTAACGAGTTTACGTCTCCCAATATTGCTTAACGTACGGTTATTATGAAAAAATGTATGATAAATATAGTAAAGATGGAATATTTTGAAATGTTTAGTAAGTGTTTTACGCCGCAAATTGGAGATGTAGTCGCGCTTTTGTTTAGACACAGTCTCATAAACACATTGTATGAAACTAGTCGGACCTGGACTCTCACCCTATATATTGAAATTAAAAAGCAAAACTTAACTACGCGGTATAAGGGTGGTCGACTTGTTGGAATTTCTACGCATCGATTTGGCACAAAAAAAGGAGTAAATAATCTAATACGACACTATCGCTCCGTAACTAACTTCCGTGCTAAGTTTTTCGCGCTGACTGATGGTCGCATGTTGCCAACACATAACATGTGTCACTGTGCACTTTATCAAAAAAGAAGATCAAGGATTTAGAACGGACACTCAGAGTTATAATACTTCGCTGCCGAAGATAGTTAGAATATGAGAGACGTTTTCAGAAGCCGCATGAACACTAGAAAAGCTCCAAAATAAGGTGATGACTGATGACTGAATAAGGTGATGACTGGGCTTAGGCGAAACGCCATTAGCACAGCATATGAAACTGATCGTTAGCGTCGAACGACAAGGGCCACTGCAGGCATCGTTTGCAAATCCGTGTAGCTAATGTAGTTAGCGGATCACGGCGTATGGCGCAATGCGCCAAGACGTTTTCAGTCCAGCGTTTCCATTGTGACTGCAAGATTTCATCGCCAACCGAAACTTCGATAATCTTTGCCACGTGTGACTTGGAATTTTCGTGGAGGGAAAAAAAATGCACTGCCTTTTCTATCGCATCATTTCTATCGGATAGCTTTCTTCGCTCGATGCAGCTAAGCTATATACAGATCGTTGTTGACCGGCTCAATTGTTTGCCAGATTTTCCCTGTTCGACTAAACGCAAATCACGATTTAATTTTGTACAAAGATCAACAGGTCTCTTACAATTACCCATTTCTTTTTCCGCGCCATGTTGACGTAGAAACACCACTTCTAGTCATCCACTCTGCGCAGGAATTTGTAATTCTGACCATTCAGATATAGTGAAAGGCCCTACCTCCTTTTGCCTGTCGTTCAATGAGGCAGCCAAATTCCTAACTTCTGATAAAATCCTGTAGATAACTAATGATGGTCAAGCGCCGATGCCCCATTTCGAGATCGTCATTGAACTCGCATAGTCGATCGGAGTAGGGTGCATTCTTCAGAAAGAAGTTCCTATCCTTACAATTCAGGAGATGCTTTCTTCGCCACAAGGCTTTCGCTGTATACAGTATAAACATGATAAATAGTTCTTTGGCCTATATTCTATTCTTGAGGCCTGAGCTCGGGACGAAGTTCCGTTTACCTTTCAATGGATATACAACAAGCGAATGGAGGAGACCGAATGTTTTCCAGTAGTATATGTAAATAGGCAAACAATAGAGAAGTGAAACGGAAACGGAAATTTGAACTAAAAAAAAAGCTAACTACTTTTTGACCGATCTGATAATATTCAACAAACATCAAAGTCAATTCAAAACAAGCTATTTTGAATGTTCCCGATTTGATTATGCAGTACAAACCCATCATTGTGTCTAGTACGAATAATACTTTTAATAACTAGGCAAAGATTCTTCACCGCTTTTGGTTAATACATATTTGAGTAAACTTGTCGGTCGAACGCACTGAATCTATACAGATAAGTGTACAGCCATAAATGAACACCCTCCTGAAAAGAGACACTATCTATCGTTCCGGTTCATATTCATAGACGCACTACAGCGAATGGAGGAGGTAGACAGACGTTACTTATTTGATTTCGGTAAATGTTTAATCGCCTTCTATCTTATTAAAAGCAGCGGGTGCCTGTTCCTCTATCATCTATATAATTCGTCTAGCCGGCGACTGAGCGGTTTGCTATCTGCCATGGCTGGCGCGTTTCCATCGAACAATGATAGGCTACATATAGTATAGCTTGCGTTGTCTGCGACAGCTACATGGGCAGACAAAAAGAGTCAACCCATCAGGTCACAGGCATACACAGACCTATACTCATACGCCTACAGACGATACGCATCCATCAATGACCGGCTGCGACCCTTTCGAGCAACGTTGCCGGGTGCTTGTCTCGCGGACCTTCGGTCAGAGATAAGACGGTTCGTGGGCTACGGCTGGACAGGGAGACTAAGGCCGCGAGGGAAACCTCGTCTAGAGGAGCGTATTCTTTGAAAAACGCTAAAAAGACTGAAAGCAATTCTTTGCTTGCCTTGGCCACAAGTGCAAAGCATACGCATTTCACCGTCGAGATCCAAGTTGTAGGTGGCATGTGAGGCTGATTAGGTGTGTCTCTATAAAATGCTGATTACAAGTTATAGAGTTCAAAGGAAGTACCTAACTCATATCATTTTAAACTAACGTGCTTGTGTGAGCTTTTACAGCAAGTACTACACCACGGCAATATAGGTACTAATGATAAACGTTTGATGCACACGTTTGTTACGCATATTGCCAGTGGCGCAACTCATTGTTGACGTCCTACCGCACTTGAGACTGTCAGACGGTTAAAATGAATTAACAAACTTTCAATTGCTGCTGGTATTATACAGAACTGAATAAAAAGGTATTATACTGAATGTTACAAAGAGCTTGAAAGAATAATCATTGAAAAACGAAATAATTAAGTGAGGGTAGGTTCCAGGAGCGGTAACTGCTCCTTACTGTCTCACAGCCGATACTCCTTTCGGGACCATCGCCAGACTAAGAATCTTTTAATGAATTATATTATCATAGATGCGAGTAGCGTCATGTATTTTTGCTTATTAAAACTTGTAGACAATTGCATTTGATGTTACGACAGCGCATGTCACTGATACGAGAACTTACATTTGACCCCAACAGTCTAGGACCTTATTGATATTGTTCCTTGTTTTTTTCGGCATAAGGCCCAGGGAATGACCGCAGAGATAGATGCTGTCTTCGTCCGTTTTCGATGCAGTGCAAGGTAGGTCCTATCGTTAAAACGAGATGGGCCATAGGTTTTTCTTATTACTCTCTATACAAAAAGGTCATATTGCTATTCGAAATATATACCCATTGATAAAGCAATAAAAGGGCTACTGTATGAAAATACATAGCGCAAAGTGTTTAGATTCATTGCTAAGATAAAAATAAAAGTTGATTCTAGATAAATAAATTTCTCAGAATCGCTACGCATTATACGCTGTATAACGGTACTAGATTCTGTAACCTTCATTTTAGGGTAAACGAATTCTGATCGAAATTGTTTCAGTTCATCATGGGCGTCCATCGCGTTTGCGAATTTTTCCGATTCAAGAAGGTGACCGACGTCTTTTGCAAGGGCCTGAAGCTCTGACAACAGCGTGGGCTGTAATAAAAACAATGTCAACACATCTTTGTAGATTCGACAAGAACGGTAAAGTACTGAATGCTACAACTGTGTCTTGTATCGCATTTTAACTATCTTCAGTCTAACTTAACTTCATTTATAGTTAAAGCAGTAATAATGCGGGCGTCGTAAAATCTCAACTGAGGAAAACTTAGTTCATAATGTGGTTAATCAGAAACGTTCATCTTCGCACTGTACCAAGTAGCGTAATGTAAGAATTGATATCTGATCGACCCCTAACTCATCGCTGCCCTTTCTTCTAAATGACCAGAAATACAATGTGATAAACCTATTAAGGCCGTGGTACCTTGGTGTTGGGTAAGACAATTACTTACGACAAGTATAAATCCTAGTGAAAGTGGGACTGGGTCCAGACGCACAGAATAGGCGCAATAAATAACAGTGTAGAAGGAGCTGTACAAAACAATTAAACTAGTCGCCATGGAAATTGCCGGATTTATGGATACGTACTCTAACACGGCCTGCTCTATGACGGGTACATGAGTAACAAACAAATCCTGATTAGCTACATTTCTAGCACAGAAAAGGGGAGAATACGGGAGAGAGTCCGTTTCAAGCGGATATTCAATCACAAAGTTCACGTAAGCCAGATTAGCAAGGCACCTCTTACGACCTACTCTTATTTTAACATACATTCGCTACATTCTGCCTACTTTAATCTTAAAACAAGTTATTTAAATAGCAAGATCATCAAAAACTGAGCGTTCACAAAAATAACTCGAGCTTGCAGATACGTGCTTCCAGTATGTGCGTCGCTCTTGAATAGACTAACCTGAATCACCTGAGACATGCGATTTCATGCACTATTTACGATATTATTATGTAACAGGTCCATATCAAACCGCGCATTTGCTCTGCCTTCCTGACCCTTGTTTTGAGGTCATGGGATGCTTAAACGTTTATGCAAAGGAAGGCGAGTAACACAAAAGCAAAAAATGATATATTTTGATCGTCAACCAACCTATCTACCCCGATTATCACTGCATTATAATGCATAATTTCAATGGATACATTAACGAATAGGTCTTTGTTTAAGTCTATTCCACTTCCGATTGATGCTGCTAGTCTAAATCCAGCTAAGCTTAGCTTCACATGTATATTGGTATACAACCCTTTTTTTTTTTGCTCGTTGCCATTAGTAGAACGATCTGTGCTGAGGTGTCCAGAACTTCAACGTACTGAATGTGAAAGTAAAAGAGCAATCATCAGATCGTCGAAAGATCTACACCAGTATAACAAGTGTACCCGCCCAAGCACGACAATGCAATGCAGTGAACTTTCTATGTTCTATTAATTTGTTTAGCATTATATAGTCACATCACAACGGCCTTCCACATCAGTACCTCCATCGTCGCCGGTATCGTATCACACGCTCGCACCCTAGTAACGTTGATATAATTCGGGTTCAGGTCAAATGCACCACTAAACGTATGGCATAAATATAGAAGGTTAGACGTCACACCGTAAATGGCTGTGAATTGTTTGTTGAAAGTTCTGAGTAGCGTTTATGGATGAAAGGGCATGCAGCTTCCTCCTTGCTACTGTGAGGTTTTTCCCATCCTGTAAACTTTTACGACCTGCGTGAGCAATTAAAGGGCCACGTAACCAAAGGATTACACGCAAAGCCTGTTGCTGTTGACGGTAATTGAGCTCACCAAAGGAGCTCCTGAAAGTGTCATCTATAAGGAATCGAGTGAGTACAGCTTTACAAACAAAATTCTACACTCAGTATTTGTCGCAAGCTGAATTTCATCTGTTTAAGAAAATTAGTATAACGAAATCTTACAGTACAATAGGGACCAACAGCTAACTGGGAGCGAAATTAATTCAGTAACTTCAACAAATAATTAATTAAGTAAAACGCAAATATCTAAAGCGACTTCACGTTACGTAGATAATCAGGCACCAAAGGTTGGCCAAACGAATTTTTGATCACAGTTCCGCTTAACCTAAATCTCTTTTACCACCACGAAATTTTTAATTAACACGCTTTTCTAGAGCTCTCCAATCCAATCCAATTGTTCAAAATCGCAAATTGCTTTTTTTTCTTTTTATAAGAGAAGCAAATCCTTCTTCTTCTTCTTCAAGTATCTACCAGATTGCCTTATGATCAAAATGTCGTTGCATAGTAAAAATTTTGCCAAAAGAAAACACTTTTCCAGGGACGAACCTCTTATCATAGCTCGCACAGGAACGATAGTGATTCTTGCCACTCGAAACATTGTGTACTTTCGGAGACGCTTTATTGCGTTTTAAATGTGGCTAAGTTGTACATTTCTGTCAGAGACGATACTTTAAGAACTTATCATAAACACTTACTTTTCCACTAATAAAAGTGCGCGTTGTTACTGGTTATTCTCTACGATGTATCGATGCATTTTTTAGTAATGCACAAAACGACGATCTTTTCATGGCGTATTTACCCGAAAGGCTGTATGTCGATAGTACGTATCGATTATGAGCCACCCCGTACAAAAGCACGACCATCCAATTCCGAGTAATGGACGCACACGACTAAACTAGATACATTTTTCTAACAATTCTATATGGGTAAGTTACATTAGAAGAGATGGCCGAAAATTTCGCAAGGAGGTTTATTTGGCAAGCGAACGACTGCGGGAGTTGCAGTTGTGATGAATAATTACTTGATAAATCTCCACGTTACTAACGCGAGACATCTACACGTTCGTTTTATCGAACGCTGAACGTATCCACTCTAATCTCGCTCTAAACGCTTGCGCCAACTATCGAGTGGAGAAAAGCAGCAAATGATCTCCTACTTCTCAGACTGGGTAGGCGGACACGATATGGGGTAACATTGGGGGGATTAGAAGCAGGTATGTGCATTTGTAAACGATCCAATAGCTCTACCAAGAAGAAATTTCTTTTTAATATTAGCGAGCCACATATATTTTGACAGTTTTAAAATTGGCTCTTTTCGTATATCCTTTCACTAGTACCTAGACAGAAGGAGGAGGCTCGGGAAGTTCATAGCACTGAAGCACAACTAGAACACAGTCGAAACAAACACTTACTGCAATCACTACGTGGACTCTGTTTTTATCTATGTGTTTTTTCAGATTTTTTTTTGCAATTATTGCCAACAACTACTACTTGGTGTTTCCTATCGAATTTGATTTGATAGATTAGCACTCGATCAAATTCTTCGAACCGGATCGTTCTATAATACAGAACGATGGGTACGTTCCACCAAATGCGTAAAGAGACGTTTTCCATCGCGTTTAGACGCTCTCTACAGATATTCGAAAGCAAGGCATATATGTGCGAGACTGATGTACGGATTTACTTTATAATTTCTATCTACAGCCAAGTACTTTTTTTTGTTTACTTGTCGGAATGCTGGAATAGAATTGGGAAAGGGTCTAATCAAAGAGTACTCAAAATGATAATTTCTGATGATAGTTTCTCAAAATGATAAATTCATAAGTAAAACGTAACAAGTTAACGAAACAGGTGTTCATCTGTTACGACCTAGTATACGAATAGAATGTAGAAGGCTGTATTCAAGGCCTTGCATAGCGTGTCATCTGCAAAAGGAAGGTAAATTTAGTGACCCTGATCCGGAACTATTTGATTTTAGCCAATGATCGATGATGGCGAAAGATTCAATTTCAACAAGCAATAGAAGATAGTTTATTTATTTGTTGACTACAATTAAGTAGTTGTATATCGCAAGTTTACCGTTTCTCATAGTCTCACAGAACACGTGTCAACAATAAATTCGAGGCCTGAAAGTGCATTGATGGACTGCAGGAAAAAAAAAGTGTATATAAAATATGATAGAGTCCAACACTGGGCCTCGAACAACTATTGACCTCGACGCGTTACCGAGTATTTGTCTAATATTTACCGTACGTAATAGAAAGCATATTTGTACGAGCGTCCGTTTTTGCGTATACGTGTTTTTGAAAAACCTGCTATTTTTCACATATCCAAGTCAGACATAACAATTATGTTATAGTGCTTTTTTGACGCATGTTTTTCATAGTTCCTCACAAAAACTGACTACAAGAACTCCACAGGTTTATTTGTAAACTAGTGTTGCAAGCATCCAAAGGTGAAACTCAGGATGAATAGTCTATACACTAGGATATATAGGTAGCAAGTTAAATCCAAGGTTAGTCCACTTAAGAACCTCATCAAATACCGTCTTCGATATTCTGTGATTATCAGTTTGTTTGACGACCGCTGTTTGAAGCCTCTACTAAGAACTGACATGTATTTCTGTAATAAACTTGCTTGCAACCCCTGATAGTTTTTGCGAGATTTCAAAACTCTTGAAGACAATGAGAGACCACGGTAGCCGCAATATTTTTGCGATGTTACCATGGGGATATTAATAATTATATTACCGTTAGAAAAACAAAATCTATAAAAGATGTGATGTAGTGAACACTATTCAGCATAGTAAATAGCTATTTGAAGAGCGCTGCTTTAATGAAGAAAGTGAGGGTATAAGCATAGAAGATAAAATTTACTGACTGGAAATAATTATCAGATAATGGGAAAAAAATCAAATTAATCACGCTCGATTTAAAAAGAAGTTAGTTACGTGCAAAAATCCATCGCACATGATAACCCGTGTACGTCTGCGCGAAGTTAGGATACTACTCTTCAGCTTCACTCGACTGAAACATCAATGAAGCTAGCGAAGCTCTAAAAGAAGCTTCAGATGTGGAGGTTAGCAACGTAACATCTTTTCAACAGAGCTGAATTTTTAGGCAGAATTCTAAGAAGTACTCAATATTTTAGATAATCTAGCTCTTCACATATATATATATATATATAACACAAATGCCAGAAATAGCAATAGTTACTTTACCCACGAAGAAACAGCGATAAATGTTTTTAAAGATATTAGATATTTCCAAGATTACTACTGCAAAACATCTATCGAATAGATCTCTCGAGTCTATCGCACCAATTCGAACGAGCCATGAGGTTCGTTTTCGAGTTGGTACTATTTGTTGTTTTGAGGAATTTGTTGTTTGATAAGTAAGATTGTTGTAAGGTTAGCAAGTTTTGGTATTAATTAAAGAAAAAAAAAAAAGATTAGTCTAGTCTACAAAGCTTCTTTTGTCTTCTCGAAATACCCGTTGGTTATAGCGCCTTCTGCAAAAGTAGTCTTCACCTGCTGGAAATTCCAGATATCTCATTTTCGTCAGTATCATCAGTTATGACGCTAGCAGATGACCTTACCAAAAAATGTATTATTTTTTTGTTTCTCTGGGAATTTTGCTTGCATCGCAGAATGGTACATTATAGATCTACACAGGTGAACTTACTTCGGCGTTTCCTAATAAGTGTTTTAGTCAAAACTCAAAAAAAAGGCAGGCTCTAAGTCTTACGTAGCTACCGCCAGACATCCGACCATAATGAAAAGTTTTTAAGCAACTGCCTTCTCAAGTGAAAAAAATAAACGTGACGTGAGAAATTCATCATTATTTTGCCTATTTTTATTAATTATTCCTAATTAAGTTATCTAAAATGTCGCACACTCTCTTGTTTATGTACACATCAATACTTTCTCGATCGGGGCGGTACCTTTTAATTAATGACATATTCTTGCAAAGATATTTTATGGACTGTCTAACGTTGGGCTTGTAACGGAGCACTTTGTGCTTAGCTTTGTTCCGACGAGAAGGTTTGGGTTGACAGGTGGAAAATCTTTTCGCGAAACAGATGCAGACAACAACTTTCGAACAATTATTTTTGCAACCGTTCAAATTTTAAGAGACATTTGGTGTATACAATAGAACATATAACAAACATGTAAGTTCCTAAGTTTATCAAACTGTCGAATTTTTTTTCAGGAAAGATCTTTCTTTTTAACTTAAACTCAACTTTAACTTGCCGTTTGGCATAAAATAGTGAAATATCAGAGTAACTAAATAGAAATATGTAGGACAAAATATTGGATTTACTGAAACAAGGTGGTGGGAAACGTGAAACAGGGACGTTTCAGCGAGACCGAGAACATAACTGTACCGGTCAGAGTATCGCAAGCAGTGCTATATGATAATAGAATAACCGCAACGAGATCAGGTTCAGAAATCCAAGCCAGGTCTGAAGTCTTTTTAGTTTAGATAGGAAAAAGTACCCAGATAGTACGGGGTAGTGTCCAGTGTGCACTACGGATCCGGTCTACAAGAGAAATGGCCAAGTGCATCAGCCTGCTGTTCCTGTTTCGAAATAATTTTTATAATATGTAAATAGGAAAACCTTTGACGGGCTGTCTGTAAGTATGGAATTACCTGCTACCTTTGGTCCAGGAGGAATGCCGGTCTATTCTAAAACAAAAATAACGAGCTTATCACAGCGAAAAACAATAAACGTCGTTTTTAGAATTAGAATCAAGATCAAATATTACATAATCCTTTGAAGCAAAACAAACCCATATCTAGATTAGAAACATCTGACCAAAGTCAATAGACTACATTACAACAAAATTCAAGAAGACTTATACGAGACACACCGGAAGATCTTCAACAGCGTTTAGACTGCCGAACTTTCAAGATTCATCAGAGTAATTCGGAGCGCCGTTTTTAATACATCTAGACTTTTAAAATTGAAGGCTATTTTGGAGAGGAGAAGATCAATTGCCAATAAGATCGCCTAGGTAAGCTCCGACCATCAGTCTTTCTGATACCCTCTGCACTTTTAAAACTTCTTGACCATTCTGAAACCTTGCACTTTTGGCCTGTTTTTAAAATATAACTTCGTTGAGATTTATTGTAAGTAGTTTATCTGAGCAATATTTTGGCGTGTTTATACCTATCACAGCGGCTTGACACGCGGCTTAAAAAGTACTTAGCAGATTGCGGCAGGGATATTTTGAAGATGACTTATTAATGGCTTGGCTTTGGAATCGAAACTGTATCTCGGTGGATAATGGTCGTAGTAAATAAACATGGTCGCCAAATTAGACACTTCTAGCAAATACAAAAAGCTCTGTCAAACTATCTGTTCGTGTTTAGATACAGTTTAAATGACAACACCTAAGACAGCGCCTGGACGCAAATGCCCCATCCTGTATGTATCCGTCCATAAAAACGCATAATTTTATTAACTTACTTAACTGGGCTGTAATTCTATACGTACAGGGCTACCACACGGGTCGAGTAGCTGTAGACGATGTTTTACTTAAACTTTATTTATCGTCCATAAATAGTATACTACTATCGTGTTTGATGGCCCATATAAAACAGTCATACCTAACATACCAATGAAAAAAAAAAACTGTAGACACAAGAACTTATTTATTTGTTTTTCTTTTCATAAAATGACTCCATGTACCTCAAATGACGCTCTTATTTCTCAAACTCTAAGAAATTTGCAGTACAAAAATTACTTAAGTATCTGCAGACTAGTGTTTATTATAATATAATGCTATTGCGTATCCTAATTTCCACTTTGGTGTTGAACCGTTTGTATTTCACGGGAATTATGTAAACTTAATGAATGTCTTAGGGACGTTTGTGACGTCGTCTTAGAGTCAGTACTTAAGCTAGATGCATGTTCAAGTAAGCAAAGGTAGTTTACGTTAAATAAGTCACTATACGGTATCTGACACCGTTGGTGATAGAAGTAAATTTTGGTGGTATTAAAATTTTGTAAATTTATAAAAATCAAAGTAAAATTTAGATGGTAAATTTTACTTTAATTTTTATAAAATTTCGACATCACTGTGATAACTGTATGTTATGAATGAAAGCAGTCTTGGCCCAATTTTACGTAGTGAGCTCTTTCCAACTCCATCGTATGGGCAGTTCGCGGGCGGCGCCCGTCGACCTAACTAGTTAGTATGCACCTTACTACATGTTGTTTGTACCTTCTAAACTTTGCTTAAATTCGTTTTAGTTGAATTTCTATTTTATTTCGGCCTTGTAAAGTGTGTCACACGATAAACTTCCACTTGGTTATTTCATTATTTTCATCAATATTAACTATCGTGCATGCACGTCCCTATGCGTGCATACATAGACATGTGTCACGATTACGGCTGGTAAGAATCTGGCTGTACACATGTTAACAAATACTCTTTTCAGGCTAGGCTTGAGCCCTTGAAGAACATTAAAAAATGTTGCGTGTTGCAAATATACTACTTGTTTTTGTCTGCGTATATATATATATATATCATCTCAATGGCTCATTTTGAAATAACGCGGCTCAAACGTCAGCAACCAGCTTTACGTTTTCACCGTCGCGCTGTTACCATTCCTCCCTTGTGGAGAGCGGTTATCACATGGCCTAATCATAATCGATGTAACAACCTAATAAATCACCAAAGGAGCTATATGCATTTTTGGTTGGCACTATAAGAATGCGGCCGTCGAAAGGCTAGTACATTAACTACTTCAAACAATTTCGAGACTTCTTTACGTTGCTTCTTAAGTTCGTCAACTTCCTTCAAGCGTCAACCTTCCTGGTTAGCTTATCTGTTCTTCTAGACAACACACCTGTCTATAATAGGTTGCTTTGTTCCCTCTAGTGCTTTAGTGCCGGTTCCCAAACTCTTTTCTATAGCCCGCAGGTCTTTCTGTGTCCTTCAAATTGTAGTATCTTCCTTCTCGGAAGGCTATACTCGCGCTTTCGTCTGCTGTAGCGCGTCTTCACCTGTTTCCTTTGCGTATTCAGAGTCATTTTGCTCCAGGCATTATAACAGGTCTTGGCGAATTTTCTGCTGAATTCGCTGATTCCTCGACGCAAGATTCGTTCTGTCTTAACCAACTGTTGCCCATGTCACGCTTAACTGCGCAATCTGCTGTTGATCGCACGTCCTGTAATGTCCTGTCAATCAGGACGTTGGAGCTAATGCGTTCTACATTGTCTGAAACCGTCAGATTCATATCAAACCATTATTTTTTGATAATCGGATAGCCATTTTGATATGTCAGGTAATGCGGTAATTTCGGCGTCGAGATCACTATGATTCGCAATAGTTCCTCTGTAAAGCTTTGATTTTGGAGGAAAGTTAACCCATCATGGATTTTAACTTATCAAATATTATAAATATATGGAATAAATGTTTTCAATTTTCAGTCCAGTATTGTGTTTGAGAGATTACACTCCAGAGATAACACTCTGTCACTCGCAACCGAATTTGAAAAACGCGGCCTTCCAAGCATAATCTCTTCCAACTGACGTTCACTGCACGACAGTCGTAATGCAGGACAGATAGAAGCTTGCGTATATGTTAGACGTTATATTACTCATATGATTACAAGTATTTGAAGTCGTAATAAATGATGATGATGATGATGATGATGATGATGATGATCCATGTAAACTAAAAGGCTAAAGACACAAAATAGAAATTCTCGTATAATAATTTCTAGTCATATAGCTAAAAACGAAATTAGTTGCTCGCACTTTGCTTCAGCGTTTTATTCGGACGCAACAAAGCCTTATCTATGCTATATGCTTTAAATAACCATTTACCTTCATATTCGCTTTCGACAATATAAGGCCAACAACAGGAACGCCACAGGTGAACCTCCATCTTAGCGGTTGTCGCGATCTGCTATATGCATTCGCGCTGCTCTTACTTCTTAAAGCGTGGATATCGCAACAGCGAGGTGGGCTGTTGTTTATAGCCCTCTCCCTCTTCTTTTATCTTCCCCAGACCTGTGACCCATGCCGCCGTAGCCGCCTTCACAGGCCGCCTCCGCCGCCTGCCGCCTGCCGCCTTCGCCGCCTGCCGCCTAATTACTACCAACAGCCGTCAGTAGCTAAGCTTACCCTTGACTTTCTTTGACCAGGCTGATCTAAACTTATCCAGACCTGGCGTCAGGTCATGTAGGGCGGCATGAACTATCGTTTTCCTGTTGCTGCATCTGCTTGCGACATAAAGCTCTGGTATGGCCAAGTTATCTGTCTGCCTTTTAGAGTGTGCCGACCCCCTCCGCCTTCAGGCCAGTCTCTAACTGGACCAGTCTGCAAGCCAGCAGTAAGCAAACAGTAAGAAAGCAGCAGCCAGTAGAGCACTCAGGTACAAGGTAAACGAATGAGCAAGCCCGTTGGCTCACTTGCTGCCAATGCAGTGCACGGAAAGGATATGACGTTGATGAGAACGACGAGACCGCCTCCACCGGCGACGACAACCACTGCTACTCTTACTGCGTTGGCTGCAAGCTTGAGGATAGTATCCGGGTCTGGCGTCTTCCCGTTAGATGTCCACCACGGCAGCCATACCACTGCCGGAGCCATGCGCTTGTGGCGCTGCTAGGCCCAGATCGGCGGGTCCGTCACTCGGTTAGTCAGCGGTTGAAGCGCGCCGATAGCGGCGTCGCTTTTGAGGTGGTGGTGTTGCTGCTGCCTATTCTGTTTCGGCTCCTGCCTGGGCTGCCTTGCTTCCCACCTTTGCTCTCCTATTTCGTTGCTGTATGCATCGCGCAGAGCCCGCATGCCTAGGGACCAAGGGCCATAATCAGCAGTAGCAGCCGTGACTAGCCCGACGATTCCGCAGACGGGTGTCAGTCTTCCCGACCTAGCATCGGCATCCCCACTGTTTTGCCTGTCTATAGAGATGCGGGGGCACTTTCGCAGGGAAAACCGTTAGGGGGAGTGGAGAGAGGTACGTTTGCCCGTCTACCTGTACTCTCGTCAAGCCATTACTCCTCTCTCACTCAACCGCTGCCGTTTGGCCGCCCAACCGACTGTTCGGCCTTCCGCTTCTCTGGCAGCACGGCCTTTGCAGTGCAGAAGAAGAGAGCCTTCATTTCCCTGTCCCTAGCCAGTCCAACTTGGTACGAGAGGCCCTTGCTGCCATGCTGGTCCTCACGACGACAGGGCACGCCCGTCCCCACAACAACGAAAACCTAGTGTGCTGCGCTAGTGGTGATGGTCGAGATGGCGCATGCGCAGGCCCCACGAGACGGCGCTGCGCTCACTTTGTTGCCCGCCTGGCCCAGCGGCCCAAGCGCGGCCAACGGGGGCATAGTGAATCCCCACTGTGGCCCACTACGCTAGGAACAACCGTCACCTTATCAGTCGGTAGGGAGCCAAAGCAGCGATCGGACTACAGTGCGTGCGTGCGTGCGTACTCATACAGTGTGGTGCGGTTGGTTTCGTTCATTTTAGTGAAGTGCCATTGCTTGATTGCTTTGTCGCGCTGGACGCCTGCCTGTTTGTCCGCTAGCCATTGTATTCGGCTACCTTCAGCAACAGTAGCCTCATACCAAACATTAGGGCAGGTGGTATTCACTTGCCGTAGAATGCAGTTTAGCGTTCATATCATGTGTTACATAAACTACACATGCATATAGGTATGTGCATACGAGTCCTTGACAGTTGCACGTTGGTGACCATTGAAGGATATCAACTGTCAATATGGGATACGTCGCTGTAACTTTCCATTTTTCACCTACCTTCACCTTTTTGCTCACTCAGCCCCAGTAACTTGACAAACTCTTCTAACTTTGTTTTGTTACAACGGAGTAACTTACTACTGAGGCTGCTACAACCGTTGTGTAGGCGGAGCAAAGCGCGCCGATTAAAGCCGGGAGCAGTCAAGTGGCGCGAAACTGCTGGAAAGAATCCCTCGGCTTCTGTGATTCTGTGCGTGAGTGTGTTTAATATTGAGCCGGTCGAAAAGGAAGTTCAGTGCGTGAAGAGAAAAAAATCAAATAGTAGGTGTTGTGGTGGTTGGAACAAGTTGAGAAGTTATTGTGGATTGTGTGACGCTCCCGGACGTAGACGCGACGACGACATACCCACAGGCTAATGTAATTTACCCTTGAGTTAAAGACTGCATCAGTCTGAAAAGAAGTTCTCGTCAGTCTCTGACAACTGACATTGTGCAAGTTGACTAAAGGTTGATTTTGAGGGCCGAAGCCGATAGGATCGCTAATCTCATTTGAGGTAACAGGCGTTGTGCGTGCTGTTGTTATTTCGTCGTCGTTGTTGTTGTTGTTGTTTTTGCGTGCCGCTTGTACGCGGGACGGTCTATATGAGTATGTGCTTGGCCTGCCTGTTCGTCTGTATGTGTATAACGAGTATTAGGGCAATCAGCGCAGGAGCAGTGCCGTGAATGCGCTTACGGACGTTTACGCCGATACTGATAGGCGAACCGCAACGAATGACAGTGCACCAAGCAATGTGTGACAGGCTCGCTGATAGCTGCAGCCGCCCAAAACGGAAAAGCAATAAAATTTGCAATTCGTTTACCGTGCCGAAATTGTACGCCTCTTGCTGCCGCCATGACCGTAACTACTATAGCTGCTCCCGAATGATAGCTATCATAACACCTAGGGGAGTTTTGTCGACATCAACTACCAAGAGCAGCAGTGTTCACAACGAAAAAGGTAACAGCCAAACACATTTGATGGTCGTCGATTACTGATGCGACTTCAACTACTGCGGAAACAGCGGTTTCCTTGAGTGTTGTTCCCGCGCTGCCGGTGTCGCCGCCGTCATCATTACCATCGTCGGTACGATAGCAGCACTTCTATGGACAAGCGGGTTTCTGCAGGAGTAGTACCTGGTAAACGTGATAGTATCTGAAGCTATTATTGTCGCCGCCGATTTTGATAATGTTATGCCGCTGGCGCCGACGCTGCTTGACCAGCCGCGAGTGTTCTTTGGCAGGCAATGCTGCTGATGTGTGAGTGCGTTGGGATGAACATGAGTGGACCGTATAGGCCACACAATTGATCATGGCGTTGGCCGCACTATCAGGTAAGTAAACTGTTTGCTCTGTTGCTAAATGCAATCGTTATATTAGACAACGAAGTCCTATTGCCGTGTTGGAAGGGTAGCTTAATTGGCCAGCCAACAGAATCACTAAATGCGGTGTCGAAAGACGTTATTGCATTGATTTTCTTGATGAAGACTTCTCTATTTCGACATCATCATCATCATCATCATCATCATCTTGTCGGGTCATCTTTTATGGCCCGATTAAATAAAAACAATAATTATAGTAACAATTGTATCAGTAATGGTAATAATGCCATCTGTTTGGTACCAGAAACCGTATCTTTACTTCACGAGGTTCAATAACACAGTTAATCTAATGTTCTCTTGCATTTTGAAACACATGATTTTTATTTGACTGATTTTCGCGTGAGATACAGATTTATGCAGGTGGCCTAATGGGGGAAAAAGCGAAACGAAACCATACTAGATTAGAAAACACTATTATAATTAAGTAGATGACTTCCATAGACGTTCATTTTGGTAACGCGTTTAACAACGTAACCACGTATGGATATGTGTAACAGACGCACCTGACATAAAATGCTTATCAATCGGTCACGTGCCACTTGTTGGTGATATGTGCTAGGTGGTGTACATACGGCGTCGACATAAAGCACAAGGATGCCTTAATACTGCTATTTTTTAGGTAATGTTTCAATAAAGGTAATGCGAAACTTTCCATTGGGTGTAGCAAGTGTCCGTATTTGCCACGTAATCTTAAACGACGAGAATTTAGAGCTTTGAACAGCATTTCCAAACTGCAGCAGTACCCTTTAAATGCATACCATTTTCTGCCTCTGATACGTAGTTGTTTACTTCGACAATATTACCTCGGTCTCAAAGGAAACTTTAGGGTACTTGCGATAAACCTGACGGATAAAGCTGAGGCAGGCAGTAAACAACGACCCTCTATGGTTGTGTCGAAGTATGCCGACCAAAGCGACAAGGGGCACAGAATGAGAAACGATGACTGTGGGCGAAACTCACTTCCGCAGCTTTGCCGCCGGCCGCCGTGTGCAGGCAAAGGCCGAAGTTAGCGCGAAGAAGAAAGAAGACTTGCAGCTTGTACTCAACCAGATCCCTTGTTTTCTGGCAAGTGCTACTTCTGCTGATAATTTACGTTTGCTCGCACACTGATAATATAGTCGTAGTCCCATTGTACAAACACAATCTGGACTAGTAGCATACGGCCAGCGATACACGGCTGACCGAGCAGGCAAATGGGGAACAGAAAGGCCAAAATGCCAAGTCAATCAGTCAGTCAGTCGCCTAACCTATATAGGCAGTCCAGGCAGGTTGATATTTACTGTGTTACAATGTTTGTACGCTATATTCTTTGTCATTTTTAATATGAAAAAATGGTGCATGTAATCCGGTCAGAGGCAGACGGTCGTATGTACATACGTTCGTTTGTTCGTTTCGTACAAGGCTACGCTTGCTCGTGAATGAGGCTCATATCTCTGCTGCCTGTTGACGAAACGACTAACCCGTCGCATTTGTGTCGTTGGCACTGCCGGGCCGTCGGCGTCTTATATGCATGCAATATACATATACGTACAGCTGCGGCCTCGTACATAGTCGCTCGATCCTTATTTTTTACGCTGTTGTCGCTACGCTATTTCGACCCACCATTTTTGTCTCTCTGCATCATCTTCCTCGTTTAGTTTGGCCTGCATAGCGTGTGCAGGCGGTTACAGACATATACGGTAGACAGCACGAGCGCACTCACATGTACACACTAAGAGGTCCACAAGCCCATACAGAGTCTGGTTTGGCTGTATGCAAGTGTGCTCTACCGCACAGAAAGCAAAAGAGTTTTTTCTACTCCTCAGTTAAGTGTGTATCCATGTGTGGGGTTACGCTAGGGCTAGTAATAGCAGTAATCGTAATGGCGATACCATTGCAACCTGTTTCTTTTAGTGGCAAAACAACAAAGATAAGTGGAAAAATAGAGGTGAACGAGAGAGAGGAAAGGGAAATAAACAACTAGTAGAAAAATCTCAGGTATCTTTTTACGGCGTGCAAGCACAACAAGTCGCCAAGAGAACAAGATGGTGCGCTCCCTCTTCACGTCCTATAATCTAACGCTGTTTATGTTCGGTCAATAGAGGAAACAGAACTAGTCTTATTTAGACGCTAGACAGCACCGACCGAGGACGTCATATATCAACCTGCCGGGCGGTGGTAACAGCTGTAATAATACCAGCAGCGAATCCTGCTTCTACAAGGATATGCTTGGTAGGCTGCCGAAGACAGACGTGAGACTGTTCGCCTTCTTATCAAGAAGGATTCAAGCCACTAGAGACGACTCACCTACTACCGTTATCACGAGCACTTCTCACGACTCAGCTGTTGTACTTGTTCCGTGTCTAACCTTAAGGAAGACCTCTACCTCTCCTCCTTCCTAAGTAAGAACTAACCCAACAAACTACCAGCAACGCGATTTTCCTGCTTACGTTAACGGGTTTACAAGAGTCCCTGCGGTGTTCGACGGTGACCGAAAAAACTGAAAAGAAGTAGGGCGGAAACGACACGAGATTTCACCCATGAGGCGGTTCGACTAGGAACAGCAACGGCCACAGTGTCAACAGAAGCCGTACCAGAGAACGAGACCGATAAGGAAACTTTAAGGTAGCTTTTAGGAGATATCCTTTTCCACACTATCTTTCTTTCCTCCTGGTCTTCTGCTCCTTGGCCTTTTGCTACTCAGACCGGATTGCAGAAATACGAATAGAGATACGCGCATAAGAGGGTCAATGTCTGCTGACGCCCTTGAATAGCTCCTCAGTTTTAGCTGTGGTCACTGCTTGGAAGGTCCAAGCAAGCCACTGAACTGTCGGCCCGGCCTGGTGAACATTAGGCGATGCGATACTCCCTTACCCTGGGTGGCTCTTGCTGGTACCGAGAAGCTCTATCGATGTCCGCACTCTATTGGCAGCCTTTCGATATGATCATATATGTATAGCCCGGCTTGTCCAGCTTGAGTCAGGCACAGGGTCTGTCCGTACGCTTGCCCGCTCGTCTGCTTGCCTGCCTTGTGACGACGCAACAGGTCTTCCCTTCTTCCGCAGCAGTCAACCAGACTAGCGCTAGTGGTAAGCAGACGCTCACTTCCCCTTTCCCTCCAGCCTTTCTTCGCCGTTTCCACGTAATAAATGCTTGAGTTTTACGTCCGGTTCTATTGCTGTTTGTTAAGCCATGCATTTTAGGACTGGTTCGATCCTGTACGGAACGAAGTGTGTGTGTGTATGCAGGCCATGTTCTCTTCCCGTTATTTCTATCGAGGTTCCTTGCTTGCTATATATCACGGTGTAGGAACCCCTCATGGTATAGGCATAGGTTTGCCTATACCGCCTATCCGCCTGGCCGACCCTTTTGAGCTGTAAGGTGGCTACGGGTCCTTCTCTGGGCGAGCCCCACGACGACGGGCGACGATGGTTCTACCGTAGGTTTCTGTGGTCTACAGGTGGTCAGTGAAGTCCTCACTGAGCTGCATGCGTATGAGGCACTTTACGGTTATGCGTATCAATGTGTGGCGTATGCGGATCATCCTCTGATAAAGAAAATTGGTATCTTTTATTCTAGGCCAGCTTTCCTAGGTCGCTATAACTGGAAAGAAATATATGCAAAGACGCTCGTGAACTATAGAGAAACAAGAAAAATTGAAAAGATTTGTGAGAGGTCTACGAACGCATGTGCGCGCAAAAAAAATGTAGTCGGCAACGGTACGGTACTGAGGGTACATTGTTGAAGCAATGTGATACGGTAATTCAGCATTTCCTTTCCTATTCTATATACGTACACGGAAACAGTCGCTTAACTCATTCAGGTTGTACAATACGCATACAAGCTAGGTCAAATAATACGGTCCTCATATTTGTTGGTCCTTGGCTCTGCTTGCCTTTCTCTATTCTTGGAGTTATTTCCTTAAAAAGGCCGCTTCCATCGCCGTTATTGTCATCTGCCTTTGACGATGTCTATATAGTGAACAGCACGCTGGCGTGCTGTAACGTGCACACACCAAACAGTGTCAGCGGTGCTGACTCACTACGAACCTCCCACACGTTCGTGAAGGTAGTTGGTATGTGTACAGAGTGTGTGCAGATGATTATGTATATGTTAGCGATCTTAAATGAATCATTAACACGGAGAGGTAAGCTTCTCTGATACAAGATAATAGCAGATTGTCACAGCAGCTTATACTTGTCCAGGGTTATTTTTTAAATCGCAATTCTGAGTGCATACATGTATTAAATTGTGCCACCTTAAACTTTATAGGAATATGGAGATAATTTTCGCTATTGATGTGAACAGAAAAGATTCTACCAAAGTCCTGGTATTGCGACGCGAACTTAGCATCTATGAAATACCTACACTACAGTCATTTAGAAGTGCTTCCTTGACTCAAAAGTAACACAAATAAATTTCACAGTGCATTTGTTTAGAAAGTGAGGTTTGCCATTGTTTAGGCTCTCATCATTAGTTGATAGTCAGTGCTTACTGTAGGGACTGTAGATCCTTGGCACCGGATCATATAATCTGCTCAATCCCTACTCAGTGGCCACCGTCGCAAAACCCGTTCACTTGAAGATTACTGAGTGAGCTTATGGTCGACAGTTGTAAGCAAAGACTAATTATCATCATATGTTTCTTGGACATTTGAATCGTGTCATTTTTCTTAATCTAGTCGAAACGAAAATACTGATAGCTGACGTTGTTAGGCCTCAGGAGCTTTTTATTAACCTAATGCAGTATGTCGTTGGCGTTTAAAAGATCTACGAGTAAAGAATGAGCGGCCCTCTTTAGCTTGTTCCAGTTGATCCTACGGAAGGGACGCAATACAAACCTCTCCTTTATTAACAGGGAAAATGAACGACTTGTTTCATTTATGAAAATGAGAGGAACTAAAGGCAGCATGCCGCGCCGCAGTACAAAGTCAAAAACAGTGCTCCTTGTAAGCGACCTATGTTTCAAATGGT